GGATCTTGAAGAGATATTTGTCCACCTATTATGTTCATAGCCGCAATATTCATAGTCGCCAAAATGTAGAATAAATTCAGATGCATCCATTGATTCATGAAAAACTTGGCAAAATGTGCTGTATATATTCAATAAAAGGTTATTCAGCAGTAGAATGGGAAGAAATTCTGCAGTATGCTACATGTGTGAGGTCATTATGCTATGTGAAGTGTGAAACACAAAAAGACTATACTATATGACTCCACTTATTAGAGGTATTTTTAGAGTATTTAAAAATCATACAACGTAAAATGGTGGCTGCCAGGGTTTGGGTGAAGGGGTTAGGTGAAGAGGATGGGGGCAGAATGGGGAGTTACTGTTTCATGAACACAGAGTTTTAGTTTTACAAGATGACGAGAGTTACAGTTGTGGGGATAGGGATGGTGATGGTTACACCGCTTTATGTGTATTGTTACTGAATTGTTCACTTAACAGTGATTAAGATGGTAACTTTCATGTGTATTTTTTCACAGTAACAATTATGGTGGGGAAATGTGAAAAGCATGTTTTAAATAACAAAATTCAAGTTTTAAAAGTTATGTTCCTACTTAAAGCCAAAACTGCCTTTAATTGATTTAAAGTTTTAAATCAGTTAAATTGATTTTAAGTTTTAAAATAGTTATGTTCCTGCTTAAAGTCAAATATGGCTGAAATATTGATACCAAAAATAGAAAACAAAGACTGTTCACTACTGAACAACTTGGTTCCTCTGCTTTATTATGGGTACTTGTGTGTTTCCGATTTATGTTATCTTCTGTTTTCTATCCTTTGCTGTTTGAAATGAAGTAATAAGTGATTTTTATTGAAGAATTCCACTTTAGCACTTAATAGTTTGCTTTTATAATACTGTATTGGTTTTGTTGCCACATAACATATTGCCACAGACTTAAAGGCTTAAAACACAACCCAGTTATTAACTCAGTTTTGTAGAAGTTAGAGTAGGTTCAGTTGACTTCTCTCTTTAGCTTTACAAGGCCAAAATCAAAGGTGTTTTCCAGATTTGGCCTTTACGTAAAGACTGGTGAAGAATTTGCTTCCAGGCTCATTCATTTGCTGGCAGAATTCTGTTCCTTGCACCTGGGTTTAAGGTCCTTATTTCCTGGCTCACTGTCAGCTTAGAGCCACGCTTTACTCTTAGAAGCTTCCTGCATTCCTTCTCCCAAGGTCCCTCTATCTTGAAGACCATCAGGGGTTTATCAGGTCCTTCTCACCCTTTGAGTCTGGCTTTTTTTCCTGCTCCCAATAGAAGAAAACTCTCAACTTTAAAGGGCTCAACTGATTGAATCAGACCCAGCTGAATTATCTTTGTATCTTAAGGTCAACTAACTTGGCTGGGAATGTTGAGAGACTATCTTTGCAATTATTTCTACAAATAATGTTTGATTCACAACAATGTCTTTTTTTATAGGTGTGATATAAAAGTGCAGTGAACTAAGACTCCAAAGTTCTTGGATTCTGTTTAAGTATTTAATATCTGATCCTGGACTGAGAGGCTTTTGAATTCAGGAACTGTCTTCATCTTTTAGCTCCAGTGCCTAGGACAGTGTCAGGTATAAAACAGAAACTTAGAACATGAAGTCACATTGCAGTAATGTTACCTCTCTGTGCCTTTTCTTTTTACTCTTTCTTCATCTTCTTAAAAAGTTCCTTATGAACTAAAACCAAGACTTAACGCATGTGTAAGTCTATAAAAATTTTAGTTATTATGGACAGCATACAATATCCCCATTTTATAGATTTTTTTTAAGTTACATCTCTTGTCTATTGAGCAAAAGTAGCAAATGTCTTCTGACATGCTAGATTCCTGATCTGTAATAACCTATTATATTTATATAGTACTTAGTTTTTAAAAACCGTTTTTTAAATTAATGTTGAATTAACATGGGTTTATAGCATTCAGTATTAGATGTGCATTATTATATATTAATATCTGTGTAGAGTGCATTATGCTCACCACTAAAAACTCTAATTCCATCCTTTACCATACAGTTTACCCCTTTTACCAAGTTTACCTACAGTCCCTTACCCCATCCCTATTTGTAACTACTGATTTGGTCTTAAGAGTCTAAAAGTTCATTTTTCTTATTTGCTTCATTTGTTTGTTATGTTTCTTTCCATTCCATGTATGAGTGAAATTCAGCATTTGTCTTTCTCTGTCTGACTTTCTGAGTTCCTCCACTGAACATTATGCCTTTTTGGTCTGTCCATGTTTGCAAATAGAAGGATTTCATCTCTTTTTTTTTTTTTTTTTTTTTTTTTTAGTGACTGAGTGCATGTATACCAAACTTCTTTATCCCATCATTTGTAAATGGACTTGTTAGGTTGTTTCTAGCTCCTGGCTGTTATTTAAGTAAAGTAAAGTTTTGATGAACATGGGGGGTGCATGTATCTCTTCAAATTAGTGTTTTTGTAATCTTCGGGTAGGTACCCAGAAGTGGGATAATCAAATTATATGGCATTTCTATTTTTAATTTTTTAAGGAAACTACTGTTTTTCTTAGTGACTATCAGTTTTCATTGGTACAGTTTACAGTGTGAAAGGATTCTCTTCTCACCTATTGTCTGCAAACAATTGTTTTTTTCTTGTCTTTTGGATAATAGCCACTTTCACCTATGTGAAGTAATACCTCATTGTTTTGATTTACATTTCCTTAATAAGAAGAGACCTTTCCCCATCCCTGTTAGCCATTTGTAGGTCTTTTTGGAGAAGTGTCTATTCAGATCTTCTGCCTGATTTTTGATCATATAATTTGCCCCCAACCTTTTTTATGAGAACCCCAAAATGCTGCTTGTCCAGTTCAAAATGTTGAGAGGGCTACTGTTGAGAACTTCTTGTCAAAATCATTTAATAATATGAACTTATTCTTCATTCTTTGGGCAGATGTAATCCATCTGAGGAACCCATTTTTTTTTTTTATTTACCCTTTAATTGAACCTAGTCAAGAACCTTGAGAATCGTACAAAATAGTATAAACTTTTATACAGATGAAAGTAAACTGAAATCAAGGTCACCTGCTAATGAGAAGTAAAACCAGAATTTTAAACCCAACTCTTCTGCATGTGAATACAGCTATATTTGCCAGTTAATCATCTCCTTTATTTTAAAATATCTTAATGGAAAATTTTGTATCCTGATACTTAGAATTGTGAGGAATTAAAGCAGAGGACGAGACTAAATCGCAAATTCTTTTCCTTCTGTTGCCTTACAACTCCTTTAGTCATGTGCAATTTGCTAGTATTCATCTATTGATTTTCTCCCAACTTTTTCCTGTAAGTCCTTTATGTTGTATCACATTTCTTCCTTCTATTTTTAATGTCAGTTACAGAAAGTTAGAAATCTTCTTAAACATTAAGGAATGTAAATAGACCCAGAAGACAGAAGCTCTGAGGCAGTGCTGCCATGTGCATATGCATGCTTGTATGTGTCATTGTGTTATAGAGCAACCCCGATATTAAACGGGTTCCTGGCTGTGGGTCCTCACCCGCGCGCTTTAAAGGGACTTATGAATACTCTACTACAGACACACACAAAAAGGTTAATAAAAGGTTTATTTACAAGAGGAAAGGAAATAAGGAAAATAAGGAAAATGTACAACTCAGGGAGAAAATAGGGAAATAAAGTCTTTAATGCGTCCTACCCGATCCGACGACCTGGAAACCCAAAGTCACTCTCAGAGCTGGCCGGACGCTGCGAGCTGGTGGAGAGCCCAAAATGGGGTCCTCCAAAGCCCACGTGTCTGCCTTTTCTATCCACCTGGCTGCTTAACCCCACCCTCAGGTCCCAGCCACCTTCCCTTTGGTGGTGATGGGATTTGGAGTTCCCAGTGTCTTTGGCTTTGACCTGGGGTGGGGGTGGAGTCCACAAAGCCTATATGGAAATAGCTTTGGGACATCCTTTTCCCCCTAACAATTTCCTTCTCTAAAGTAAACAGAAAACCATTTTTCTTTGGTTTTTCTGTTGTTACTGCTGATTTATGGTAAGGGTAATCCGGGGTCAAAATCCCATACATGTAATGTTGGGGAAAATTTGGGGGACAGGACACACTGATACTATAGAGTCTCATTTCTGTTGGTTCTACAAGGAAAGCCTTTCTGCATGTTAGAATGAAATGGTGACTACTTTCTGTATGTGAATCTCACTAATCAGGCTATTAAGAACATTTTGTTTGGTACCAAACTGGCATTATAACTGATACCTGGACCTTGTACTGTTTGTGGTTGGGGTTAGAGAAAGAGATTGGAAGAGGTGGAAGGAAGCAAAGTGTTTTCAAAACCTATTTTGCTGTGGTTAGCAGGCACTTAAGTGCCTGATACCAAGACCAGCCGCTGGTATCATAAACTAGAGCTAGTTGCCCTAACATGTTTCCCAGTCACATGATTGGTGATCTGACAGTCATGCTGAATATGCATACTGGAACTCTTGTATCTTCATGTCTGCTTCATTACCGCACTGGACCAGGCAATAGAATTTCGTCAGCTGATAAGCTGGTGGAGTACTTCATACAGTGCTAAAAAGGATCAGTAGATGGTTGGTTCTACTCTGACACAATGTTAATTTGAAACATTACCCTTAGTGAGTTTGGAATTTCTCTCAGTACAACTACTTAAAATCCCTGAAGTTTATTACCCCTTACCTTGACTGAAGTGTAATATGTTAGAAAATTCTGAAGGACATACTTTGTTTTGTTACTCTCTAAGAACTTTTTAAGTTTCATTTAGCTCAGTTAACACAAATTGCGGCCTTTTGCTCACTTAAAATGCAACCCACAAAAGACTTTTATTAGCATTTTCTCCAAGTTTGTTTATGGGAAGAATCAATATTTTTCACTTGAAACCAACTTTGATTTCTTCATTTACCCTATTTTGTGTAGTTGGTTTCTCTGTGATGTAGGATTGTGATAAGAAGCAAACTTTCTGTTTCAGTATGAAATGTAATATAAATCTTTCTTGTTGTATATTCAGCGGCCATTGCAGTCATTTGGACAGACAGGAAAAAGGTCTAAGGTATTGTAAATATTTTGTGCTGGCATGCCAAGGGCCTTCCTCCATGCTTGATGAATCCTTGTTTTCACATATGGCTGCTTTCAGTTTAGTTTTGTCATACTTTGTTTGGGGCAGAAAGCTTATTTTGTTTAATTTGAGATTTTTGTCTTGCCTAGTCGCTTTTGTGCATTGCTTTTATATCTTTAATGGTTCTTTATCTATAGAGAAAACTTTTCTCACCATTTTTGTGTTTTGAAGTTGGAATTATTCCCATTCTTGCTGTCACTATAATTTTCAAAACTGCATTATTTGCTTTTCCTCTTTACAAAAGGTTTTAGTGCTGTTTAATGAACTACTTAACTTTTACATTTCACCTACTTTATGTGTAGCAGAGATTATTTATAAAGAAACTAAAGAAATCCCAGGAAACTCTTGGATATGCCCTACATTTGTGAAATGTAGTGCTAATTTTAAATACTTTTCTTTAGTCAAGCTCAAAGTTAAAGCTAGTTCGGAGCCTTGCAGTGTGTGAAGAATCTCCACCACCCCCTACAACAGAGATAACACAGGAGAACCAGGTAAAAAAAAAAAAAGGCAAAACAAAAATATTGTTATTTAAAGCCATGGTGGAATGACCTGCTGTCTGGACATATTTTTTTCATCAAATTAAATAGACATTTTATGTGCATGTGTTATTATGTGTTTATTTTCTTTGTACTCGGTTAAACTAATTTGATAGTATCACACACAATACACATGAAAAGTTGGGAAAACCTTGTTACTTCAACCCAAGGTTTAGTGCAATGGTTTCTCTCTGGGAAAACTTAGTGATCACATCATTAACTGGGAATGAGGCTTTGAAGAAGTTATAAGTTATTGAAAATTTATAAAATGTTAAAGAAGTACTTCCAGTGGATGTAAATGTAATGAAATTTGCCCCTTTGATTTTGAATTTTAGAAATTTGTCAAGCACTACTGTGAAAAGGAAAATACTCAAGACTTGGGCTGATATATTACTGTACTCAATCTAAGTGCATGATGAATCGAATTTCGTGTTTGCTGGGTTCTAATAGTTACCTAAAATGTCTGATACTTCGTATTCTATGCTTGTAAAATACACAACAACTGAGATTCAACAAATGGTTCAGATTGCCGTTTGTGGTCTTCATAGTGCTATTTACTATTTTTCTTGTTAATCTCAGCTACTTTGTCTTCTGTTTCATTTAGACATTATACATAAGTATTTTTGAACCCTCTACCAATATTTCTCAGCTTGGTAACTTTAGCTATAAGTTGTTCTACTTTTTAAGAACAACCTAAAATTTCCTTGTAAACTAACAATTAGTTTCCAAAGAATTGAGCCAACTGTGGCTATCTAAGAAGCCACGATTGAAAAAAGAAAAATAGAAGCCATAACTGGTTGTACCCCTTTCCCCCTCCCTGTCTCCCTTGCACATGCAGTAAATACCAATTGTACATTTGTTAATTCAAGCAAAAATTAACGTTTTTTCATAATGTCAAATATCATACCTTCAAAAGCCTACTATAGATACTAAACATAGTTGTCACATATTTAGAATATGCTCTGTTGTTTACTATCCTTCTGTGTTTCCAAATGCAAGGAAATGGAGGTTTCTAAAGTGAATAATTTGTTCTCAAGAAAAAATACTTTAAAATCTGTTTCCTTTGAAAATTATTCAAGTGTCAGGAACATAAGGTCAAAATTTATTTCTTATTTTCATGTAAAATTTAACTACATGTACAAGATACCTATGTGTATTTGTTCTATAAAATAGATATATTTTTAGTTATAAGATAACATTTTCTAGTAAAAATAGAATCACAGTCAAAGTATTTTACTAAGACCTATTGTCTGGAGAACATTTTCAACTGTTAACCTTTGGCTTGGAGATAAGGCTGAAGCATTACAATAAGCTAAAATAGATTCAGCGAAGTGGGTTTTTGAAATAACAATTTTTAAATGTTCTTTTTTAAGTTAAAGAATATACCTATTCAAGGTTGAACAGCAGGCTGTGTAATTTGCTTTAAATTGATGTGTGTTGACTGAAGTGTTATATCATCATAGCTTCACGAAATACTTAGGCCAGTGAAACTAACAAAATTAGAAAGATCAGGCAGTCATAAAACTGTTAACCTAGAAAAGGGCATACTTTCCCCCAATATGAGTATATATGTGTATATTTCCAATTTTTTTGCACAAAAACACAAGACAGCAGCTTGTTTGTGGTAGCAAAATATTAGACTCTCTTAAATGTTCATTAATAGAGGATTTTATTTACAATGATCTTAGAAATGGAATTTATGGTGGAAAGTTATCCAGAGTAAGCAAACAGGTAAAGCTTGGAATATAAATACATGTCCTGAAAAGAAGCCACATCAGCTGGAATGTGAAATTTATAAAAGATGTAATACTATTAATAAAATATCAATAAAAGTATAGGAATGAAAGTCTGATTAATATCAAATTGTGTAAGGTTTTGCATAACATGGCAAAAAATGTATACCTTTGTTTACTGACAGTTGGTAATAAAAACAATGAGTCCAAAAAATGTCACAGACAGTGAGATATATGTATTCACTTTGGGGGGGGGGTTGGTCCCTCAGAACTTTTAGCCTCTGTTTTGTTTCTTTTTTAAACAGTATATGCTTTTGGGGGGAGCCTCCCTGGTGGCGCAAGGGGTTAAGCACAGCACTGTGAAGCTATCCACAGCCTCTGCAGCACAAGTTCAATCCCCTGCCGGCCAGGGAGCTACCTGCATGGCACAGCAGACCTCTCCTGTCTTGCCCACTGCTCCCCTCAGCAGTGTGTTTCAGTCAGTCTGCCTATTCTGTTCCCCATTCTGTCTCTGGTGAATCCTCTCACCCTCCGCACCTCCGGCCAGTACCTCAGTTCTTGCATGCATAAATAAATAAATCCTTAAAAAATAAATAAATAAAAAGTATATGCTTTTAAAGAGAAACTGCAACATTATCTTTGACTTTATTCAGGACATTTCAGTTTATCTGGGAAAATTCTTAGAGTACTGCATAAATTCATATAGTGAAAAGTTACATGAGTAAAAAATGCCAAGTATATGTTATACCTTAATATATGTTATTGATCAGATAATTTTTGTATTTACAGTTCAAAAAACTGCATTATATGAGTAATGGATAAGGTAGCGATGCTAGAATTTAGTCTACTTTATACATTCTTTCTCAATTTATCTTGGGCAATATTTTTTTTTCTTTTGGGATAATAACCAATTATTACCCTCTCTTTTAGAAATGTACAGGCTTTTTTCTTCGAAGCTTTGAGTTAGCTAAATTTTACCTGAATGAAAATTGGAAAATAAATTACATTTCATGAAATGTGCTAATGTCTAATCTTTGTTGATAGAAGTACTTTCTAACCAATAATGCTTGGTTCAAAATTAATCTGGAATAAATTCATTATTGAGAAGGTTGAAAGGCAATTAAAAGCAAGATATCACTTGTGTCTTATGAGAGGGAAGTGTCCTCAATAACTTGTCAATGACAGAGTGAAAAGTAAAGGAATTACAGCTGCCTATGGAGGTGTTGCTGTCATTATAATTATTTATAGTCAGAATATAAAGCAGCACTTAAAATATGTCTCATTTGTTACTAAAAACAAGGCCCTTGATATTTTGAACCTACTGATTTTATACTACAGTTTATCTTATTAAAATAGCTTCATATGTATGATTAAAATAAATGTCTTTGAAGGGACAATTTAGAAATGAAATCTTAAGGTCATTGGAAGTGCCTTTTAGTAGAGGTCTAAATTTGAAATCTTTTCATCCAATCTTGAGTACATAGATTATCTTTGAGTAATAAGAATAGAAAGTATAAGCTGGAAAAACTTTTAAATACTCTATTTCTGAAATACAGTTCTGGGGTTCTTTTTATTTGTTTTTTGTGTTTTTTTTTTAATGGAGGTGATATTTGGATTCCCTCATTAGGTAATGCCACCATATTAAATATGTATTTTATGGTTATAAAAAAGTTGATTAGGAAGCAAGTTACAAGAGAAAAAAGTAACTACTGGGCCTCCCTGGTGGCGCAAGGGGTTAAGACGCAGCCAATGAAGCTGTCTGTAGCCACTGCAGTGCGAGTTCGATCCCCGGCCAGGGAGCTGGCCACATGGCACAGCAGACCTCTCCTGACTCACCCGCTGCTCCCCTCGGCAGTTTGTTTCGGTCAATCTGCTTGTTCTGTTCCCCACTCTGTCTCTGGTGAATCCTCTCACCCCCCACACCTCTGGCCTGTACCCCAGTTCTTGTATACATAAATAAATAAATCTTAAAAAAAAAAGAAAAATTAACTACTGGTTGATGAATGTATAAACTTTATTAATGTCAATACTTTAGTTTGGTAAGCAAGACTGGCATAAAGCACATGTTCTTCATTTTAGTGAAAATTGCCAATGGGTAGCTTTTGCTCTATATTTTGAACATAAATTTGAACTGAGGTGGACTGGAAGGAGAATTGAAAGAAGATGAAAATAATAATCACAACCCTGTAGAAAAATATATATTTGATCTGAAATTCTGCCAAATAATACTTTTAAAAAAGGGGCGGGGGGGTTTAGTAGAAATCCTGATGGCTGCAAGTTTAGGAATCCTGAAATTTATATTTCCTTTGAAACAGACTAATGCACCTACTACCATTACCAGCTATCACCCAGAGAAGCTAATTGTCCTGTTGCTGGTTTTTGTCACTAAATAACAACAGTATCAATTAGTCTACAAATAGGCTACATCTTTAGTAGAAATGATGTGCTAGTTATTCTGCCACTCTTTATATCTTTGTCTGAATATAGCTACATAATTTTTACTTTTTTAGGCTATATGAGTAAACTTCCAATAATTCCTTTGCTTTCTGAAGTTGCTTGTAGTGAGACTATTTTTAAAATGAAAAGTGAAATTAGTTTTCCTTTTCTGTTTTACAGAATATGGGAACTTTAAAATTAAATATAACATATTTTACTTGAAACTTTTAAAGGAACTTTGTCATAACTGAAGTAGGAACAGTGATATATAAATCTCAAATAAGAAATAATGTTATATGGATTATGTTTTGGGAAGGTGTACTTTTTGGAAAATTTTATATTTACTTGGCAAGAGATTGAAGGAATGTCAGTGGATTTCAACTATCCATTGATTATCTATCAATGGATTATAGTGGTTAAATAGATATTAAAGCATTTTTTTATTAAGTATTGACTTGACACTCATAGGTTCCTATCGTTATGACTACTGATAATTATGCATTTGCTTGGCCACGGCATCCAAAGAGATCAAGAAAATCTTGGTTCTGATCCTGCAGGGGTTTTACAGTTAGGTTCATTTAAACTACTGTAGACTCTATTTATTGCCTCTAAAATAATTGAAGATATGTTTCAATTTGTATGTTCAACTCAAAAACATTAATTTTAACATTTTCTATTAAGGCTTTGATAAGTGATAAAAATATATCAGAGTTTTAGTCTAGTTTTAGTAATACAATTGGAAGAAATAGAAATCTGTCTTTTTTCTCTGACTTACAGTTTTGTGTTTCTCAAAAGTTATAAATGTGTGTAGTATTGAAATGAATTGCTTTGTATTTTCATTTAATAGCTGATTTTTTTCTTCTAACAGGAGAAAATTCAAGTCCAGTTAACACAATCATTTGAAAAAGAGGAGAAGCCCTCAAAAGATGAAGCAGAAAAAGAAAAAGCCAGTGATAAGTTGCCCCGAAAAATGCTATCAAGAGGTTTGCACTTACTTTTTTAAACAAAATTTTAATTTCACTATCAATTTTATCCTTTTTCCTCAAGTAATTATATATAATATATCTATCTTAAAAGTGATATAGAATAGACTGAAGGAATGATTATTATTGGCTCATCTGGACAAAATGGGTAACACAATTCTGAACATCAGTGAGATGTTTCAGCCAAAAAACCACCAACACATGCCAGAGTCACTGAGGAAGATAACTCTCTTCATCACTTATTCTGTCCCTCATGTTGAAATAATGGAATCACTGTAATTTGAATTCTGATTCCATTCAAAATGTTATTAATCTTCAATTCCTTATGATACACAGAGGTGTGGCCAAAATATTCGGTATCCAGTAAGAATATTCTTGGAAACCAAGAATGTTTATCTTTCTTAATAAAATTTTAGGGACTTCATAGTCATCTAGCAATGAAAGTCAATAAGCTTAAGTTCTGTTGATCAGTATAAACAACATAAAAATTTTACATTAAAGAAATAAACATGAATATGTTAAAAAATATTTTGAAAGCAAGCCTTTGGAGATAAGACTTCAAACTTACCTAAATAAATATTTTTTCAGAAGTAAAATTCCTGTCTATCTCCAAATTATTGCCTCCGTTCATAGTCTTAACTAAGTTGTAATTCTTATGGAGGTGTTTCTGAACATGAGGATTGTAAATATGAATATATGCTTAAACAGGCATTTTTTAACATGAGGGTTGTAATGAACATATAGATATATAAAATCTTTACAGAATTCTGAGTAAATTAAACTGGCATGTGTACGAGAAATTTTTTTAGTATCTGCACGTACATGCATTTATATAACCCATGCCATGCTCATTATTTGGGAGTGGAAAAATTGTGATTGAGGTCATCAGAATTCCCTTTTCCTACTTTGTCACTTTTTTTTTTCATTGTGGGGCATCTCGTTTTATTTAAGATATGCATCATGTATAAAAGTTAAAGGGATTTGTTTTCAAACAACTTTATACTGGGTTTTTGTGTTGTTGTTTTTTTAGATTCCAGTCAAGAATACACTGATTCAACTGGCATAGATCTACATGAATTTTTAGTAAATACATTAAAAAACAATCCCAGGTAAAAACTAAATTTATAAGGTTTACATTTCTTCTAGAGTACCATAATTTTGCTATACATGTTTTCATTACTGAGTTATAAGATTGCAATATTTGAAGTACACCAGAAACATTTTAGTTTTTTAGGGCTAAGATGTTGTTGGTCTACTCTATGCACATGTATAAATATCTTTTTGCATTATGCATGTCACCATTATATAAAAATAGTTCCTATTCTAGGAATTTTGGGAAATAAGAATTACCAAGATATTTTGACCCTTAATTGAGATAGAGGAGTAATCACTAATCATGAAAAAGAAGGAAAAATGTATAGTTCCAATAATGTTCACAACCAAATAGGAAAATAGTATATTCATTTATGAGTTTTGAACTTAATTAAATGCAAAATTTTTGTTCCTTCTTGTTCAATTTATATAAACCTTCAAGCCAAAGATTTTTTTTTTGAGGTTCATATGTGAGTCACTACTTTAAATATTTGTGAAATCCTTCATTTTGCCAGGTACTAGATAAATAGATTTTTAACTTTTATTTTTTAAAGATTTATTTATTTTTGCATATAAGAGCTGGGGTACAGGTCAGAGATGCGGGGTGGGGGCGTGAAAGGATCCACCAGAGACAAAGTGGAGAACAGAACAGGCAGACTGACTGAAATACACTGCTGAGAGGAGCACTGCAGAGGCTGTGGATTGCTTCATAGTGCAGTGCTTAACCCCTTGCGCCACCAGGGAGGCCCAATTTTAACTTTTGGTAGGCATCGACCAACCCCTTTGAAGCTTTGTCCCCACAAAAAATTTACATCAAAACAATCTGACCAACACTTCATGGGGTAAACAACTCCAAGGGGAAAATCCCCTCTAGATATTAGCTTCCCAGAGTAGTAGTTATTTAAAATACACTGAAATAAGAATAAAACAGTATTTTGGCTATGTGCACATGGAAAAAAAACATGAACATCTAGACCTTCACTGACTCTTATGATATACTTCAAGATAACCTCTGTTTTCATTCAGAATACATTATACTTAATACCATATTGCTTTTCTATTTGATATTTAATATAAACCCAAAAGGAGAACCACTAAAATGAAAATGAAAAGTTGAGTTCTTGTAATAGGGACTAAAGGAATATACGTATGGAGTAAAGAAGATAGTTAACTTTGCTTGACTTTCGTTTTTGGTTTTTTCAGTTCGAATTTGTTATTCAGTGGTCCTAATAGAATGATGAATTATAAGTTCATGGACCAGACATATATTGAGCATCTATCATGTGCCAAGCTTTATGTTAAACTTTGTAGCTATAAAGATGAGTAAGTTATAATATCTGACCCTAAAATAGCTACCATCTCTACTAGAAAAAAACACATAATACGTAACATAAATATTATAAAAAAGACTTTTCAAGATGCTATGAAAACACAAGAGAAGGGCCCTAATCTTTCTTTGGAAGGGTATAGTAAGTCTTTTTTTTTTTTAAGATTTTATTTATTTATGCATACAAGAGATGGGGTACAGGCCAGAAATGCGAGGGGTGAGAAGATTCACCAGAGACAGAGTGGGGAACAGAACAGGCAGATTGGTCGAAGTACACTGCTGAGGAGAGCAGCAGGCAAGACAGGAGAGGTCTGCTGCACCATGTGGATTGCTCCCTGGCCAGCCGGGGATCAAACCCCACTGCAGAGGGGTAGATTGCTTCATAGTGTGGTACTTAACCCCTTGCGCCTCCAGGGAGGCCCAGGTGTAGGAAGTCTTTAATTAAGAGATAATCCTTGAGCCGAATCTTGAATTCAGAGTCCTATAAATAGAAGCTGTCCATATATGGAAACATGGGAAAGGCATTTGAATAGAAACAGTGCCAAGGCACAGTAGTATGAGAGAGGATGTGGTATCTCCATAGAGAGACAAGATTTTACACCCTGATTCAGGCAGGAAAGTATGTGGGAAGTAATTCTAGAAAGTGATGGAATGAGATACGAATACAGATCATATCCAATTGTGTTCAAAATGGGATAATACCATCACTATAGCTTGGTGAGTCCCAGTCAGTGTGAGAAATGACTGGAAAGTCAGGAATGTTATAAAGATCTGTAAGATAGCAATGAACAATGAAAAATAGCTTTACTTAAAATGCCAGTCATTTACCATTTGAGAAGTACTGAATATGGCATGCTAAGTTGAGGAGTAATTAAAAAAAAAAATCAACAGAGTATGCCAGAATCAGATTTGCCTTTTAGAAAGCTTACTTTGGCAATGAAGGGCTAAGACCATAAGCAAGGAGTGTAAACAAGAGATATAGAAAAGAATAGAGAGAAAAGAAACATTTGAAAGATATTTAAGAAGTACCATTGCAGGACTTGGTGATCATTTGAATATGGAAAGGTAATGGTGTGATAGAATAGAACTTAATTACTACTAAGTTTCTGGCTAGACTGACAGCCAGTGATATTAACATAGAAAGTAATAAACAGTAGATCAGCCCAAATGGAATGGGACATGTTCTGTTCTAAATAAGTATAGTTTGAGATACCTAATGTAGAGCCAGGAGATGAGGACTTTCTACAATTAAGACTGATTTTCAAATAAATGAACCCAACTGCAGTTATAGTATTCAGGAGTCATCAATGGCTATGAAGTTTGCTATGACTGGGTTTGCCCACAGATGTAAAATAAATGTCAAGGACAGAATTCCATGGAGACAGTATATGAATGGTAGATGAAAAGGAAGAGATTGTATCCTACAGATGACAGAAGAATCATGAGCACATTGCCTTTGAAGTCCGTCAAGGGGATACAGTTTCAAGGAAGATAAAATAACAGAGAAAGATGAAAACACAAGTAACAACAACAGCTTATTCACTTGAGAAACTGAGGAGTTGTTGTTTTTAACAAGTCATTTCATTTGGGGAAGGATAGTGAAAATGAGATCTGGGTGAGCCAAGCAATAAAGAAGAGGTAGAAAATAGACAGCTAGTTTGAGTAAAACAATATGATATCCTAGACAGGAATAACTTTTCCTTTCTCTGAAGCTATAAGAGAGATATCAGTGAGTACAAAGATTAGGAATCTATTTTTAGCATTGAAAATTATTTTTCTGTTTTGCAGTTTTCTGTTTTCCTCTATAAATGCAAAGGGTTAAGTTACTTGCATCTGCATTTCAAAGAGTACAATTAAATGACTTTTAGTATACTCACAGATAAGTACAACCATCACTGCATGTAATATTAGAATTTTTTCACTGGCAAGGAAGAAACTACATTCCATTTCGTTATTACTCCACTATGCCTTAAACCCTGATCTGTTTTATGTCTCTACGGATTTCCATGTTTTGGACATCTCATATGAATGAAATTAAATGAGTGGTCTCATATGAAATGGATACGTGTAGTCTTTTGTGACTTGCTTCATTAACTTAGCTTATTTTCAAGGTTCCTCCATGTTTTGCCATGTATCAGTATTTTATTCCTGGATGTGTTTTCATTTGAATAAATATATGGGTACTAATTCATGTAATTACTAATATATAAGTTATTACTAATGCCAGTGTGGATTAGAAAGTTGAAACTAATGTTAAATTTTGCGAGGAAATAATAATTGCTTAATTATCAGTTCAGTATTCTCTCAGTGAAGCATACAATTAATTGACAGATATACACAAAATAGAATTAGTAATTAAGTATGGCAAATTTCTGCTAACACTTTTAAGAGTGAATATTGGTTAGAGAATTAGTCCAGATAATGCTGAGCATATTTATTCTTAGTGATACTAAGAATTTTTTATTTTAAAAAATAAAATTTATTCAACCTTTCATTTCAAGTTTTTTCTTGATTATTGAATGCTTATCTTAGTCCAGCAAATAAATTCAACTTCAGTGTTAAATAATAAATTTTCAGGAATTCTTGTTGCAATATTTCCAGACACTACACATATCGTTACAGAAGTAGAACCTAGAAGCTTGAAGGTGTTTTTGAAAGAGAGAAAACTCAGACGTGAATTTATACCATTTTTGTGTTGATTTTTTAACCCATTTTGTATAAATTCTCTGTGTAGTTCTATAATAATACAGGAAGAAAGCAACCCCATGGATTAATCCTAAGAATGGAAATTTTAGAAGTAATTTGTTCTAAAGGAAACATCATGTAATTGTTCTGTATGTGAAATACTTTCTAAATGACTCTTTTTGAAAGCAGTGTTTAAATCATTGTATTTCTTATCTGATGCAGAAATTTGACCAACGATTATATAGAACATTGGAAGGGGATGGTCAAATGGAAGCATTATTGTTTTCTGCTTTTTTATTTGCCACTGATACACCAGCTGCATACTTTCTCTAAAGTTATTTCTGGTACACTAACTAGAGCACTGATAACTATAATTGTTGCCCCTTCATTTTAACTGCAGGTAATAGTTTTCTGACCACTTTTTTGTATTTATTTAATAATAAATGGCATGCATTGGTTTATTTAAAAAGATTGTATGATAGCAGTTTTAAAGAGTGTGCCTATTTTTAAATGGTTTTGGTTTACTTTCTAAACTTTATGCCTTAGGAAAAGTAACTTGTGGATCTCCTCATTTGAGTCCTATATGTATTGCTTCTATAAAGGATTTTTTTTTACTTAATTACCAAAATATCTAACCTTGATTACATATTTAAAAATGTGAACACTTGCACTAATTTATAGTGAATACAAAGGAAGGAAGTGTAAATCTCAAGAACATAGTGGATTTCATAGATGCTATGGTACTACTGAATCCTAAATAAAGAAGCTTATATGGCAAAAAGAGCTTAGAATGTTGCCTGCTAATTTTTCTAACAACCTCTACATTTTAGTAACTAAAAGTTCAATAAACTAAGCAGGTGAACTAAGTTTAAACAGTAAGTGGTTCAAATAATAAAATTCTCAACAATCCATAGATCTACTTACAAAAGAAAGGGGAAAAAAATCACATGTTGTATCAGTGTCTAGTAAAATTATTTAATTTTGTTTTCCTTCATGGGACAATAGAAATTTATTTTCAGTGGCAATACAGTCACTGAAGAATATTTCACTTATCTTATACCTTCTGTTGAGCTCAAACACAGAAAACCAATTTAAATAGTGTATCATGAACATGAAGAAAGTTGCATGACTCAGATTACATTATTTTTCCTACAATAACTGTGGTAAATATACCAGGATGATTACTGAAAACTGACCCTAATAGGTTAGATTAAAAAAGGGTCTTAATGATTTTTTTAGGGGGGAGACTTCATGAAGTTAAAATTTCCCATCTTCCCCCCAAAACTGAAGGTAAAATAATATGAAAAGACCTTCTGAATAAAGTAAATTACACCATGCAGATACATTTATTGAGTTCCTCTGTGTAGTCCAAATAAGTATATAATGATAATTATGATATTAATAAAGAATATAAGGTTGTTGTAAGCAAAGACAACAAGTTAAAGAAACCTGAGAAAGAGCTTGACACTTTTTTTTTTTTTTCACCTCATGCTGGTTAGAATGGTTATTTTTTTTTTTAAATAATAAATTTTAGTTTTATATTCCCCCATACAATTGCAAACGCCCCATTCTGACCCCAATCCTTCCCCTCCCGCCCCCCACCCCCCAAAAAGTGTCTCTGGTTCATAGTTTTTTGTTGATTTTGATTTTCACTTTCTTATATTCATTTTCCTGGTCCCTTATTTAAGTTTTCTAGATTCCTGCTATGAGTGAGACCATCCTGTATTTTTCTTTTTCTTTTTGGCTTATTTCGCTGAGCATGATCCCTTCCAGCGCCATCCATGTTGCTGCAAATTGCATGTGTTTATCTTTTTTGAATGCTGAGTAATATTCCATGGTATATATGTACCACATCTTCTTGATCCAGTCATCTATTTTTGGGCATTTGGGTTGTTTCCAAAGCTTAGCTATTGTAAACAGTGCTGCTATAAACATAGGGGTGCAGGTGCTCTTTGGAATTGATGTTTCTGTGTCCTTTGGGTAAATACCTAGGAGTGGAATTGCTGGATCATATGGAAAGAGCTTGACACTTTTATTAATAAGACATGATGATGAGTTTTTGTGACTAAGGGGCAGGAGGTGAGACTAACAAGGTAGTTGAAGACTAGATCATCATGCTTTGTAGTCCGTATTATGAACTTTTAATCCAAGCTAAGAGCAGTGGGAAAGTTGTGATAAATATTTAACCAAGACAATAATGTGTGGTTATACATGTGTTTATAAAATCATTATGTTTGCTCCATGTAGAATGAATTAGGGAACAAGGGAAGATACAGAGGGACAGTATCCTATTTTTGTGGTCAAACCAAAGATCCTGATTGTTTCATTCTGGAGTGGTAATGGCAATATAGGGAAAATTACTATATTAGTGAACTAAACAGGAGGATTAGAATAAGGTCTGTGATGAGCTTAAATGCTTCCAGTATAGTATGCTGGGTGGAACGTAGTGCCACTTACCAAGCTGAAGAATACTAAAGGAGAGTAAGTTTTGAGGGCAAAATTGAATGTTGAGAATTTGTGTTGATGTGTTATCCTATTTTTAGCATTTGATTTGAAATCACCAGGGAGATGTGTTTTTTGTTGATTTTTCAACTAATGTAAAACAAGGTATCATCAGATATTACTCAGTTTTATGAGACTTACTTTACAATGAATGGGACGGATCGCACCTCAGGGCTGATGTGCAGTCTTCAAGCACTTAAGCAGGGTACACTGTCTCAGTTAGAATTTGAGAGGGATCAACTGTATGGTGTTTATTTGGAAGAGAAAATTAACTTGACCTAGTTTTATTGATATATAAAATTTTAGGGACAGAATCGAATCATTTCTAGTTCTCTGAATTTTTTTTCTCACATACACATGAAATTTACAGTGAACACAATATTATTCTCTTGAGCCATGTTCTTGGTGTGTGAGTATAGAGGTCCTTTGGGGAGTGGTACCATTAATTTGTTACAGCCTATGTTCACTAAGTAGAATTCTTGTGGCATAAAGGAACACATGCAGATATCCCGTCGAGTCCTTGTTTATTTCACATGTTGGAGACTTTTATTTCATTTTGATTTTTATGAGAAAAATTCCCAAAGCCTTAAAATTACATATTTACAAAATGATTTGAAAAGCCCTCCTTCTGAGTTTGAGTTGGTCATGCATTTCGTGTTTCTCTGCCATAGTTTCCTCTATAGGTAGCATTGAATCCCCTTAGGAGTAGTCCTCTTAGCGGCGTTGCATGTTCTGCAGAATACTGTTTCTATAGAGTTCAGTGTTATAACAAAACCATGAGTCTAACTAAAGATGTCTGTTTTGCTGCCAATGCTCAGCTTTATTGAGTAAGGAAGTAAAGACTAGTATGTTTTTTTGGTCCATGTATTTGCTGAACAGACTCATACTAATATTTAGCAGATCAAAATATACCTTAGGAATTACCACATTAATAATTGTTGAAGTTGGGTAATGACTAAATTGAAGTTCATTAGACTGTTAACTACATTTTTGTATATGTGAATTTTTTCATAATAACAATTAAGCTAAGTCATCCTTCTTTTAAATAATGCCTTTTTAGAAAGCATATAAGTATTCTAGCATCAAGCTTATGATATTCTTCTGTGTACAGTTTTTAGAAAAAAATTAGCCATATTAAGTCAACATTGATGATTATTTCAGTGTAAGTTTTACATATAAGAGTCTTCATATTTTGTTTCAGGGACAGAATGATGCTGTTGAAATTGGAACAAGAAATTTTAGATTTCATTGGTAATAATGAGTAAGTCCTGACATTTAACAAGAAAATAAATTGTCATCGCAGTTCTCCTTAACTTACTAAATTGACTTTCCTTCTACCTCTAGGTCTCCACGTAAAAAATTCCCCCCAATGACATCTTACCATAGGATGCTATTACACAGAGTTGCTGCTTACTTTGGACTAGACCACAATGTTGACCAGAGTGGGAAGTCTGTAATAGTAAACAAAACTAGCAATACAAGAATGTAAGTGTCAAATATATGTACATGTTATCTATGTGTGTAATGATACTTTTGTCTTTCTACAGTACCTATCATCTAAGGTTTTCCACATGATTTAGTAGCCTGATGAAGCTTTATTATAACCGTATACAAAATGACCAAAACTATACTTAGCTCACTAGATACAGATAAGGCAGGTGAGTGGTTACTGATTTAAAAAAGCAAGCCTCAGAGGTCAGACCTCCGCAGTGCTTGATAACATTCTCTGTGGATATTTAATTAATTACATAGCTATGACCAACTGAGGTAAATTCCTGTAAAAAAAAAAAAAAACAGATTTTGACATCCTCACATTTAATTAGTGTTTTATCTGTTTATCCTTTCTACCTCTGTTTTTCTTCTTTTCCCTCAAATCTCAAGAAGATAGGACTATTAGTTAAAATGACATTGTGCTTATTCAAATTTCTTTGCTTTGTATAATTTACTGAGAAAAATTTTGTAGGGATTCAGAGCTTTTTGCTTGAAAAAGTGGTAACTATTTTATTTTTATATTTTTTTACATTGTTCTTCATTTTTGTTATAACGTATCCTTTCTCATCTGGGTTATAGTCCCTGTGAAATTCCCATCACCATTTCACCCATGTACCATCACTATAATCCTTTGTGCTCTTTCCACACCCGTTTTGATCCTACTCCCCCCTTCCCCCTCTCCCATACTATATCTCTGGTTTATAGTTGCTTGTTTATTTTGATTTTCACTTTATTATAATTACTTTTTCTCCCCGATCCCTTATTTGGATCCTCTACATTTCTCCTATAAGTGAAACCATTTGGTATTTTTTTTTCCTTCTGCCTTATTTCACTGAGCATCCCTTCTAGCTCCATCTATGTAGCTGTGAAAAGCATGAGTTTATCTTTTTTGGTTGCTGAGTAATATTCCATTGTGTATATATACCACATCTTCTTGATCCAGTCATCTATTTTTGATCATTTGGGTTGTTTCCATAGCTTACCTATTGTAAATAGTGCTGTAGTAAACATAGGGGTGCAGGTGTCCTTTTGAATTAATGTTTCTGTGTCCTTTGGGTAGATACCTAGGAGTGGAATTGCTGGATCTCTGGAAGCTCCATTTTTAGCAGTTTGAGGAAGCTCCACACAGCTCCATAGTGGTTGGACCAGTTTACATTCTCACCAGCAGTGTGGGAGAGTTCCTTTTTCTCAACATCTTCACCAACATTTGTTGTTGCTAGTTTTTTTGATATATGCTATTCTCACTGGTGTAAGGTGGTATCTCATTGTGTTTTGATTTGCATTTCCCTGATTACAAGTGATGTTGAACATTTTTTCTTATGCCTGTTGGCCATTTGCATTTCCTCTTTGGAGAAGTGTCTTTTTAGCTCTTCTGCCCATTATTTGACTGGGTTTACTTTTGTTGAGTTTCATCAGCTCTTTGTAGATCTTTGTGATCAGTCCCTTATCATTAGTATACACAATACAAAGTATGTGTATACTTTGTATACAAAATACAATACAAAATACATTAGTATGCACATAGCAAAGATTTTTCTCCCAAGCAGTGGGATGTCTCTTTGTTTTGGTTAATGTCTTTTGCTGTACAGAAGCTCTTTAATTTGATGTAGCCACATTTGTTTATCCTTTTCTTCACTTTCTTTGCTTTGGGTGATGGGTCTTTAAAGATGTTATTGAGGTGTATGTCATGCAGTGTTTTCGCCTGTTTTTCCTTCTCCATATTTTATAGTTTCAGGTCTTATGTCTAGTTCTTTAATCCATTTTGAGTTGGTTTTTGTGCATGGTGTGAGGTAGTAGTCTAGCTTTATTTTTTTTTGCAAGTAGTAGTCCAGTTTTCCCAGCACCATTTATTGAACAAACTTTTTTTGTACCATTGTGTATTTTTTGCTCAAGAGTAATAACTTTATAATGTTAGTGAAATACTCATTGCTGATATTTGGGAGCAAAAGGTACAGTGCATTGACACCTAAAACTGTAACCTCATATACCTATCTTTAAAGCTAATCCTAAAGTGGCTAGTTAATCTAAAATTTATACATTGTTGTATGCTTATTAAAAGAATTTTCTATAATCCATTTCATATCTGAATATTGCAGTGGATGTATGGTAATGAACAGCAGTCAACTTCAGATGCCATAATAATACATTTTCAGTTCCTTATTTTTTTGCCTTTCCTGAAGTCAGACCTCTCAGGTTCTTATCTATGAATCATTCACTTTATTTTTTTTATTTAAATTTTATTTTTATATTCCCCATACAATTACATTCCCGTTATTTTGACCCCAATCCCTCCTTTCCCTGCCCCCCCCACCCCCCATAGAGTGTCTCTGGTTCATAGTTGTTGGTTGATTTTGATATTTTCTTTCTTATAGTTATTCTTTTTCCTGGTCCCTTATTTAAGTTTTTTAGATTCCTGCTATGAGTGAGACCATCCGGTATTTTTCTTTTTCTTTCTGGCTTATTTTGCTGAGCATGATCCCTTCCAGCGCCACCCATGTTGCTGCAAATTGCATGTGTTTATCTTTTTTGAATGCTGAGTAACATTCCATGGTGTATATGTACCACATCTTCTTGATCCAGTCATCTATTTTTGGGCATTTGGGTTGTTTCCAAAGCTTAGCTATTGTAAATAGTGTTGCTATAAACATAGGGATGCAGGTGCTCTTTGGAATTGATGTTTCTGTGTCCTTTGGGTAAATACCTAGGAGTGGAATTGCTGGATCATATGGAAGCTCTATGTTTAGTAGGGTCCAGAAATCTCCACACAGCTCTCCATAGTGGTTGGACCAGTTTGCACTCCCACCAACAGTGCAGGAGAGTTCCTTTTTCTCCACAACCTCGCCAACATTTGTTGTTGCTAGTTTTTTTAATATGTGCCATTCTCACTGGTGTGAGATGGTATCTCATGGTATTTTGATTTGCATTTCCCTGATTACAAGTGATGTTGAACATTTTTTCATATGCCTGTTGGCCATTTGCATTTCCTCTTCAGAGAAGTTTCTTTTTAGCTCTTGTGCCCATTTTTTGACTGGATTATTTTCTTTGTTTTTGTTGAGTCTCATCAGTTCTTTGTAGATTTTTGTGATCAGTCCTTTATCATTAGTGTTGGGTGCAAAAATGTTCTCCCAGTCGGTGGGGTTTCTCTTTGGTTTTGTTATTGTGCCTTTTGCTGTGCAGAAGCTCTATAATTTGATGTAGTCCCAGCTGTTTATCTTTGCCTTCACTATCACTGCTTTGGGTGACGTGTCTGTAAAGATGTCTTTGATGTGCATATCATGTAGTATTTCGCCTATATTTCCTTCTATGTATTTTATGGTTTCAGTTCTTATGTCTAGTTCTTTAATCCATTTTGAGTTGGTTTTTGTGCATGGTGTGAGGTAGTAGTCAAGCTTCATTCTTTTGCATGTAGCGACCCAGTTTTCCCAGCATCATTTATTGAACAGACTTTCTTTGCTCCAATGCATAGTCTTTGCTCCTTTGTCAAAGATTAGTTGACCATAAATCTGTGGGTTTATTTCTGAATTTTCTATTCAATTCCATTGGTCTGTGTGTCTGTTCTTGTTCCAATGCCATGCAGCTTTGTGAATCATTCACTTTACATGGTTGTTTTCAACTATTTATGTCCCTTCTGTGTATAATGACTTTTTACCATTTAGCTGCCATATTGTTTGCTGCAACTAAATTGGTTTTCTTTCATAGCTATATTGCTGGAACCTAGTATTTTTAAATGATTGTTCCTACAACTGCAATTAAATTACTGAAGATGGATATTATTTTTAAATGATCCTATCCGTTTTTAGGGATTAAAGTTTACCTAAAAATATAAATCTGATTTAATTTTTTATCTGCCTGTCCCTTAATTTTTTTAAAATATCATCCTCTGTAAAGCTTTTCCCAGTTAGTTTTGTCATGGCTAAAGTAGGGTGGTAATCATAAAATAAGAACTGGACTAAAGGTAAATAGAACCTCATTTCATTTAACCAGTACTTTTCAACATTACTCAGAGCTGCTGGATACCCAAGCACATATACATTAGCAGGCATTTTGACTAACATTTCGACTGGTGACTCTCTAAGGTTTTCAATACAGTGTAACCTCAGTTATTTGAATGCTATAAATGATGTCAGAAAATTCTAGGGTTTTCTTTATCAAGGTAATCAAAAATTTAGGTATAGCGTAATTAAGCATTTCAGGTCACTGAAGTTACACTGTATCATTTTATATCTTCTGAACTAGAATGAAGTTTGTAAATGAGAAAACCTTAGAGATCTTCTCCACATTGAATAAAAACAAACTTACCTTTTCCTCATAGGCAGATTACCCGCTCCAGCCTTGAACCAGTGGTGTGGATGTCAACAACTCTTTGTCCACTGGGTTGTCTCATTGGAGCGGGAAGTTGGCGATAACAGGGCAGTAAATTCAGGCATCTATAAAAGAAAGAGGTAAGACAGTCTTAAGGTTAGCTGAAATGCCTGCCAATGCTATTTGGTGTGGGAAGCCAGCTGCTCTTAGAAAAGTTCCCAGGCCCTTAGTTAAATCTTAAAGTTCACTTTGGAATAAGTCTCTTACCCAAACGTTAAGTAACTTAGAACAGCTACAGAAATAGTTGATATAAGCAAGCAAGGCACTCATGTAACAGAAACAATACACTGTCATTGTCAGAACTAAAGAGAGATTTAGACTTCTAATGAAAGCATTCTTTTCCTAATCAGTTTGATTATGAAACTTTTTTTTTAAAGATTTATTTATTTATACAAGAACTGGGATACAGGTCAGGGGTGTGGGAGGGTGAGAGAATTCACCAAAGACAGAGCGGGGAACAGAACAGGCAGATGACCAAAGACACTGCGAGGGAAGCTGCAGGCGAGGCAGGAGAGGTCTACTGAGCCATGTGGGTTTCTCCCTGGCAGGCTGGAATTGAACCTGCGCTGCAGAGGCTGCAGACAGCTTCACAGCGTGGCGCTCAACCCGCTGTACCACCGGGGAGACCCTGATAATGAAACTAAATCTATTTTTCCTTTCTATATATGCCTGTTTTCTGTATATTTTAAAAATAGAGATTTCTTTATCTTACATCACTCTCACTTTTAAATCTTTTGTATAATTTGGCAGGAGGCAAAAATAGTACTTTTAAAAAATTTAGTAGTTTAAAACAGATTCAGAAGTGTTACTTGATTACTATATAATGAAATGATGGCCTTAGTTTGGTGAAATGTTTCTAAGATTTATTTTGTTTAGAAATTTAAGGTATTGGGCCTCCCCTGGTGGCGCAGGCGGTTGAGCGCAGTGCTGTGAAGCTGTCTGCAGCCTCTGCAGCGCTGGTTCCATCCTGGCCAGCCAGTGAGGGTCCCACATGGCGCAGCAGACCTCTCCTGTCTCGCCCACTGCTCCCCTCAGCAGTGTGTTTCAGTCAGTCTGCCTATTCTGTTCCCCGCTCTGTCTCTGGTGAATCCTCTCACCCTCCTGTGCGTCTGGCCTGTACCCCAGTTCTTGCATAAATAAATAAATAAATAAATAAATAAATAAATAAATAAATCTTTTTAAAAAAAGAAATTTAAGATATTCACAAATACATGATTACATATACTGTATGTAAAAAAATCTAGGGGTCCAATTAGACTTTCTTATAACTAGACTTTCTTATATTTATAATATAAATATTTTTATCATGTATTTGAAAAGAATAATTCCAGTTTTACAACAGGATAGTTAAGTCATAAGAGCATTAAATGAATTAATTTGTTAAAGCTAAGAATGTGTTTTGGAGACCTCGCTGGTGGCACTGGGGTTAAAGTCTCAGCGCTATCAAGCTGTCACCAGCCACTATGGCATGGGTTCTATCCCCAGCCAGGTAGATAGTCCACATCACACAGCAGACCTCACCTGTCTCACCCTCTGCTCCCCTCAGCAGTGTATCTCAGTGGATCCACCTGTTCTGTTCCCCACTGTCTCTCCTTTCACTCCCCTGAACCTTTGGCCTACCCCCTACTTCTTGTATGCATAAATGAATAAAAATAAATCTTTTTAAAAAAAAAAATGTGTTTTGGGAAGTGAAATTTTGTAATTGTTCTTTTCCACAGACCACAGCCTTATGTCTGTCTTCTGGATCTCAGTGGAACTTGCTCCTTCCATAGAGGAAAGACCAATATAAAATACATTATTATGATTTTATAATCATAACTTTAGGTTACAAATTCAATCTCCAAAAAAGAATTTCTCTTCTCCAACCTATTTCAATTAATGTTAAAAAAAAAAAGATGTGGGGGCCTCCCTGGTGGCGCAAGGGGTTAAGCACCGCACTATGAAGCATTCCGCAGCCTCTGCAACAGGATTTGGATCCCCGGCCGGCCAGGGAGCAGCCCACATGGCGAAGCAGACCTCCTGTCTTGCCCGCTGCTCCCTTCAGCAGTGTGTTTCAGTCAGTCTGTCTGTTCTGTTCCCAACTCTGTCTCTGTTGAATCCTCTCACCCACCGCATCTCTGGCCTGTACCCCAGCTCTTGTATTCATAAATAAATAAATTTAATAAAAAAAATGTACCCTACTGTAATTAAGAATTTGTGGCAACTTCATTGCATTTTGAAGAACTCTCTTAAGTTTTGGTTAATTCAATCACAAAATATTAGATTGTTTTCAATTATTGAACACACCAAAATTTTCACTTAGATTTAGAGGTACATTGCAAAGAGAATGCACAGGCTTTGCTTTTGCTATACCTGGCTCCAATTCTGGTATAGTTATGTGCTTGCCTTTTGACCTTGGACAGATGCTAAAGCCATTTGAACCTCAGGTTTCTCAGTATTTATAATAACAACTGTTTTAAGTGGTTAATGTTTAATTTCTATTCATCTATTCATTTCAGCTTCAGAACAACCCTATGAATTTGGTACACTATAATTTCCATTTGCAAATGAAAAAACTAGGAAATGGAAAGGTGATGTAACTTTTGCAAGTCCTAAAGGAACTAAAGAGATAAAGCTGAAGTTTGTTTTTATAAATTTTTGTTTAATTGACGTAACATTAAGGTCCCCACATCAGATATGGCCACCAGAGTGCACCCACCACTAGATCACCCATAGTCCACACCATGGTCCACTGTGCTTCCTTCCCTCATTGCTCTTACTCCTCTCCCAAACCCTTTCCCTTCTGGATGCTTCATTTCTATACTCAAAGGTTGAATGTCTGAATTCAAGCAGTTGGATTATAGAGCTCGCACTATAGTTGATATGGCCTCTAAATCATAACATGGGGTACTTAATTTTCTGTAAATATTTTGTATTTTTTATCAGTCTTTGTTTTGTTTGTTTTTCAGACCTGATCAGAAATTTAATGAACATATTAAGGATGATAAAGGTGAAGATTTTCAGAAACGATATATTCTCAAGAGAGATAACTCTAGCTTTGACAAAGATGATAACCAGGTACTCTAAGACAACTTGAGCACTTTTATAGGTGCATGACTTATACCAGCATATCATTTCTCAGGAATTAATTGTTCTCTTTTCTTTAGATGAGAATACGTTTGAAAGATGACAGAAGAAGTAAATCTATTGAAGAAAGAGAGGAAGAGTACCAGAGAGCTAGAGACCGAATATTTTCCCAAGATGTATGTACTACCTTATATTTAAGACTTACTGCTAATTGCATTGTAAGGGCTCGCTTTTCCCTTACTCTGTTGATCACACACTTCTGACCAGGTTTGTTACATATAAAGTCACCTTTTAGAAGTAGTGCTACACTATAGAAGTTACATACATTTTGTAAAAGTTGCAAGGAGATAGACTACAGGAGTAGTATACAGAACTGAGCATATAGGGTACTGAGTATATAGTTTGTATTATTTTTTGTTTCCTTCCAGACCTAACAGACTTAAAGAGTCATAGAACATTGATTATTGTCTGCAAAATTATGTTGTCAATAATGGACTTCCCTTGAAAAGTAACTTGTTTCAATAATGACAGTATGCTGTATGCTTTATAAAGAGACATGAAGGTAAAATAGGTGACACAGTAGAGAAAGTACTATAAACCAAAATTGGGAGCAAAAGGGAGAGTTAGTTTCCCGAGAGAAGACCTAAAAGAGTGAATTATTTAATTAGAGGCTCATTATTTGCAGAAACCCAGAAACAATCGAGAACTTGACACTTGAGGAGTTGAAAGATTTTAACAGCTGAATTATAGCCTAGGTGACAAAGGAAATAAGGAAAGTTAGGTTGGAGAAATAAGCAGGAATCTGATGAATTGATAGCTAGTTATGATGCTGGGGCTTTTAACTAGAGGGTGGGTCAGCAAACTTTTTCTGTGAAGGACCAGATTAAGTATTTTAGACTTTTCAAGCCATACAAACCTTTATTGCAACAATGCAAATCGACTTTGTTAATATGAAAGCTGGCTTGTAAGTAAATGGGTATAACTGTATTTCAGTAAATTTTATTTTATCACCTATTTTGGTGATAGGGCGCAGTTTGCTGATTTCTGTACTACAACATCAAGGAGTTTAAGGAGGGAAGAGGCATGATCAAATTGACAATTTTGAGAGATTGCTATGGCTTCTGTTGCTTAAAATGGATGAAAAAAGCAAAAACTGATAGCTAGGTGAAAAATCTTTATAATAGTACAAACAAACAAAAAAAAAAAATGTTGACTGAGCTAGGGTAATAACACTAGGAGCAGTTTGTCCATAAATTGTATTGGGGCATCACTGGCTTATTTACTATCTCCACAGTCAAAGCACATGTGATAAAATATTTGTTGATTGAATGAAGTGAAATCTAAACTAGTGTGTACCTTAACTATATATTTTTTTTTTTTTTTTTTTTTTTTCTTTTTTTTGTGGGACCCTTGCCGGTGGCCAGGGATCGAACTGGCACTGCAGAGGCTGTGGGCAGCCTCTCAACCCAGCACTCAACTGCTGTGCCACCAGGGGAGGCCCTTAACTATATATTAATGAATATGGCTTCACTTGTTTGAAGGAGAATGTCTATTACAGAGTAATTCGTACAGCAAAAATAAATAGCTTCAAAATATGTATTTGTTGAAAGTAAGCCTAGTGTCTCTAAGGCAAAAATAAAAATTCCATTATCATTTATTTATGTACTCTTATCACCACTTTGGATTTTTATTATGGGGATACTTTTTAAATACTATTACATATGATTCTTGTTGTCATCATTGATTTATGATGGCATTATCCATTTACATAAACTCACCTTTTCATATCTATTCTTTCTTTCTAGTCCCTGTGTTCCCAAGAGAATTATATTATTGACAAAAGGTAAGAGAATTTTTAACATTTGTTTTGGCAGCTATCTGACTGATACTAATAAAAATTAAAATGTCTTATTAAAATGCCAACAGAATTCAAGATGAGGATGCTAGTAGTACCCAGCAGAGGCGCCAGATATTTAGGTATTGGAAGCATGTTTTCATGCAGCATTGAAAACTTAAAAAGTATTTTTTCTTTTTATTCTTTCCATTTTTTTTGATATTAGTTTTTCAAAGTTTTATTCCTAAATTACAGAGTTAATAAAGATGCTTCAGGGAGATCAACAAATAGCCATCAAAGCAGCACTGAGAACGAGCTGAAGTACTCTGAACCACGGCCCTGGAGCAGCACTGATTCAGACAGCTCTCTTCGAAACTTCAAGCCTGCTGTAACCAAAGCCAGCAGTTTCAGTGGAATATCAGTCCTGACAAGAGGTGATAGTTCTGGAAGCAGCAAAAGCATAGGCAGGCTTTCAAAAACAGGTATCAATATCTGTCTAGAATTCTTCAGTCAGAACATTGGTTTCCATAATGTTCTTAGCTCTTTATTTATCATAAGGCTTCTGTAAATATCCTAAAATATAAATTTTGTAAAATAAAACCAACAATACATCAAGTACCTCCAGAGTACTTAAGAGATTATATAATTATTGACATTTATGATTCATTCTCCGTGTGAGATACCTACAAACATCAATTAAGATATAAATTCTCTGTTGTGACATAAACTTAGGTAGTCAGGTTGGGTTCCATGTAATGTCATTTCTTATTTGAGTACCTGAGCTAGTTGAAAATTCTTCATTGCTTATTTATAGTTAGAAGGCACAGTTCCTCACCTAGGGTTAATTGTCATTGATTGCATTTTAAGCTAACAGTATAAATTGCTGGTTGCAGTTTTCATGACAAAGTCTTATTTGCCAAACAATGAATAAAATTGCTGAGAAGTTTCTGAGAAATTTTAAGACTAAAGAAAAATATTCAGTGTAATTATTATGAATGAGAGAGTAGAAAGATCAATAACATTCTAACTTCTTTGCTTTTAGAGTACATAGACTCATAACACTTCTTTTCACTTTTACTGTCTTCAGTACTAAAGAAGCTCACATTTCTTTTAAGATCCTTATAGATTTTCATTTTTACCCCCAAATAAGCATGGAAGTCAGCAGAAATTACTCTCTGTCTTGCTATAGATATGTGCTATTCTACAGAAAACAGTTGAAAAGAGAGGTATATATTTGAAGGTGACCTCTTATTTTTTAATTCCTGGTTGTAGTCAGTGCTTGAAATTGTTAAAGCTTATAAATTGTACTTGTTAACTTTTTAACTTATGTGGGTGTTAAAAATATCTTAGTGTATATAATAATATATTGTTGAAGATAGGTTAATATTATGAATATAAGACCTCTGCACATGTACCAAGGATGTATTTATTTATAAAATGGCCACTTAGTCTTTGTAACAGAAAAACTACTCGTGTCATGAGAGTTATTTTAGACACACTGGCCAAATGAAAATGTTTTAAGAACATGTACTATCTGTAACCTTCATTATCTGCAGAGATGAGAAGAAATATTATTTAACTCTTCTTTTATTAAGAAAAATTATTTTTATATAGTTTTTGTCAGTAGTACTGCTTGGCACCACTTAAAATAGAAGTTGCTTTTAGAAAGCAGGCTGTAGTGTCACATATTTATTTCATTCATAGAGGATTAATTTTCAGTCCCAGAGCAAACTCTATTACAACGAAGCCTAACTAATTATATACAGTATTAAAAATCTTATTTTCTTTCATTTTCTCATTTTGTACTTTAACAAATATATTGAAAGTGACATTTTCAGACTTTATTTAATAGAAAATGAGATAGATTACAGACATGAAAGCAGTTTAAATTACCAAGTTTATTAAATAAAGTGACAAAAATTTAAGCTGATACTAATGTAAGTACATGGAATATTTTTTCATGCTATCTTTGTCCCTTGATAAATTGAAAGTTGACATTACAAATCAGAAGATAGTATGATTATGAACTGAAATGAAATTCTGCACTGAAACTTGATAGAGAATTTATTATATTTGTTATTTCCTATACTGCTCAATCTTTCTATGTTCTTATAGATAAGGGGTTTCTGATATTAGAGTTATCAGACATCTTGCTGTGCTAATTTCTTTTTCCTGGGGGGAAGGTTTTAATCTGTATATTTCTAGGTATTAATCTAAAAGGTAAAACGTATAAAGTTTGTCTTTTGGGGGATGTGAGTAATGTGCTTTTTGTGAATGTCTCTGGCTGGAGTTATTATAAATTTGTATAAGTTGCATGCTTTGGCTGTGACTTCTTTTAACACTTATGTGATCAATTTGCTGTGTTAAACTTGTTCATATGGGGAAGGGAAGCAAAATTAATTATATGGTAAATCAAAAACAGCTTGATGCTTTTTGTGGTAATTGCATGTTATGCAATATGAGTTTTATTGTTACGTACTTAAAACATGCGTTTTTATATGAGGTTTAAAAAATCCATATTTTTCATTACTCCTCCCCTAGGTTCAGAGTCTTCTGGTAGTGTAGGGTCATCTACGGGCTCTCTTTCTCACATCCAGCAGCCTCTCCCAGGTACAGCTCTCAGCCAGTCTTCTCATGGCGCACCTGTCGTCTATCCAACAGTCAGCACTCATAGTTCTCTTTCCTTTGATGGTGGCCTAAATGGGCAAGTCGCATCTCCTAGCACTAGCTTCTTTTTGCTTCCCTTGGAAGCGGCAGGCATACCACCTGGCAGTATTCTGATCAACCCACAAACAGGTTGGTATCTAGAAAAAGCTGTTTGTTTCCATTGAGATATTAGGGATTATTTGGAAGTTTAAAAATGTTTATTAGATGTATTGTCTGTACTGTGTATGTGTTGTCAGCTTTGTATTTTTTGTGGTTAATTGGAACTTTAATAAAAAGATTTTAAAAATGTTAAAAAGACATTTATAGCAGAAAGTAATTTTTCCCTTGTGACATCATCTTTTAGGTCAAATAATGGCCTAACTATAATTATAAAACAGTTCATTTCCTAGAAATGAGACAACCAGATTTGAAGGAACTTTATTGATTAAACAGTTTTATCCTGAAAAAAATAGTATGCATTTCCTGAAGAAGGAGAAAGTATACAACTTTCATTTATTGTATAATGAAGTAGAACAAACCTATTGAAAATGCTCTTCTGAATACAATAATTGTTTTCTGAGTAAAAGGTAAAGGATAACTCGTGCATCTAAAAAAAATGTATATAATTGTCATTTAGCATTGACAACACATATTCTTTGCAATTCAATAATAATTACACTTAGCAATTAACTATGTCATATACTGTGTTAAGTGCCTTAAATACATTAACCCTGTTAGACAAAAATTCTCATTTACAAATAAGAAGACTGACTTCAGAGAGATTATAAAACTCTAAACATCATACATTTGATTATGTATATTGGCAAAAATAACCAGAAAAACTATAATGTTTTAGAAGATCACAAGTAGTCTTGGTGTAACATTGCCTAATCATTTGGTAAGATAATGAAAACAATCTTAAATCATTTGATAACCTCCATAAGTATTCACAGACTTAGCTGATGGTGTAGTGGCTGGGTAATAAGATAAATACAGGTAAGAGTATCTGAGTGTTCCTGAGCCTTTTCTTTGTTTTTCATAGAGAAAATCATTGTTTGAAGCTCACTACCTTCAGGTTTCACTTGCATCTCTTTTTTAAACTTCAAGTGTTGAATTTTTTTTTTCTATTATAAGAATTGAATTACCATAAATAATTAACTCTTCAGATTTAGCTTTTGCTTAGAAGCAGTCATCTCTCAGGTCTTTTCTATTACTAAACTCCATGTTTTTCTGAACCAGAATATAACATGATTTATTATTTTACTATTTCCTGTTTTCTTTCAAATCACATAGTATGTTTTTGGTAACATGAAAGATTCAAATGAGTAGGAAATGCAAATGAATTGATTTCTTAGTTTAAATGTATTATCCAAAATGATCTGTTTGCTTTTTGAGAACATTTCAAAAATGTTCAGCACATCCAGCATTTCAATGCACATCCAGCTTTTTTTCTGGCAGTTCTAAAGCTGCTTTATAAAGTATTTTTACCCAAATCTTCTCTGCTTTTTTTACTTAAATATCATTTCGCAATCAAGAAATAAACAGCATGACTTGTTTTCAGTTACCTATACACATCACATAAGTTACTAGGATACTGATAAAGTTTGATTTTGGGGCCTCCTTGGTGGCGCAGGCGGTTGAGCGCAACGCTGTGAAGCTGTCCGCAGCCTCTGCAGTGCCGGTTCGATCCCCGCGGCCTTGGAGCAACCCACATGGCGAGTAGACCTCTCCTGTCTCGCCTGCTGCTCCCCTCAGCAGTGTATTTCGTCATTCTACCTGTTCTGTTCCCCTCTCTGTCTCTGGTGAATCCTCTCACCCTCCTGCGCATCTGGCCTGTACCCCAGTTCTTGTATAAATAAAATAAATCTTTAAAAAAATTTTGATTTTAGAGGTCTTTCCCCACTTGATAGCAGTGCAACAATGCATTCTACTCTCCCAAATATCATTTTATTATATGTCATAGTTTTTTCAAAAATGAAAATAAAATTAACCCTGAAAGAAATGATGTTTTGAAAGCAATTTAAGAAACTTTTATTCATTCATATTTTGTCACATTGACTTCTGTATTCTTCCCATTCTAAATGGATGTTATCATCTGTGGTTTATTTTGCATGATCTTTATTTTGAATCTATCTATATGTACATTAAAAAAAAATCTGGAGGAAGGTACCCAGAATGTTAACATTTGGGGAGATTTATGGATTATTGAGATTATGGGTGTTTTATATTTTTATGATCTCTATTTGTTGGTTATTTCCCCAAAATAAAAATAATACTTTTTATAAGGAAAAATTGTTTAGAATGTATGTGTAGAGAAAATAATACTTTATTTTACTTAGCTACTTAAAATACCATCTCCCTCATCGTAGTTATTAGTAAGTAGTAAGAACGAGACTCAAAATTAATACTGAGTTTCTCTAGTTCTATTTGTAACCTTTGAATAATGCTCATTAGAATTGAACAGAATTTATTTTTTTGTTGTTTTGACAACTTCTAAGGACATGGAGTTATAAGGAGTTACAAGGACATAGCTCTTAAACCCATAATTTGAAATTTGCAGCTGTCAACCACTTAAATTTTTATCCAATTTTAATTTTATTAAATACATAGACTGTGGCCTATAAATTAGATATTTGCACCACCTAATAGAAACTGCTTATTAATTTTTCCATTGTGGGGGCCTCCCTGGTAGTGCAAGGGGTTAAGCGTTAGCACTATGAAGCAACCCGCAGCTACTGTAGCACAAATTTGATCCCTTGCCAGGGCGGTAACCCACATGGCACAGCAGACCTCTCCTGTCTCGCCCGCTGCTCCCCTCAGCAGTGTATTTCAGTCAGTCCACCTGTTCTGCTCCCCCCTCTTTCTCTGGTGAATCCTGTTACCCCCTGCACCTCTGGCCCGCACCCCAGCTCTTGTATGCATAAATAAGTCTTTTTTTTCATTTTTATTTTTTTTAAATGTTTTGTTTTTTTTTTTAATAGAGGCATGTTTTATTTATTTATTTATTTGTTTATACATGCACTGGGTACAGTCAGAAGCGCGGGAGGGTGAGAGAATTCACCAGAGCCAGAGCAGGGAGCAGAGCAGGCAGAAAGACCGACGCACACTGCTGAGGGGAGCAGCGGGCAGCAGGAGAGGACTGCGCGCCATGTGGGACCCTCCTCTGGTGGCCGGGGAGCAGCCGGGGATCGAACCGGCACCGCAGAGGTCGCCGGCAGCTTCGCAACCCAGCACTCAACCACTGCGCCACCGGGGAGGCCCCCCTTTTTTTTTTTATTGTTTAAAAATTAATTTTTTCTTTGTTCCAAAGTCAAGCATTTGTTCTTAAACTGAAATGTATCAATATTATAGCATTATAGGACCACAGTCCTGTAACTGAATTCCTTGAGCAAGATGAGTTTTAAAATACAGTTTTTCAGAAAATCTATGACTATAAAATAAGTAGGTTCTAGAACAGCATCCATGTAGGAAAACACTGTCACAAAACTTTTGAATACTTAATTCCTAAGTGAGAAAAAAAGCACTACGAATAGCCTCATGTTAGCTAAGACTTTACTTCCAAGCTAAGAAAATCTTTTGGTTTTCAAAAACTTGAAGCTTTTGGAATTGTGAATAAGAATTGTAAACACCTTGTAAATTGTCAGTAGACCTATTTTCAATCTTTCTTGTAATTTTTTTTTTTTTTTTTTGATTTTTCAGGTCAACCCTTCATAAACCCAGATGGGAGTCCAGTTGTGTATAATCCTCCTATGACTCAACAACCAGTTAGAACCCAAGTGCCTGGACCTCCACAACCACCTCTGCCACCCCCACCACCTCAACAACAAGCAGCTAATCACATTTTCTCACAGGTGCACATTTCTGTGATTACATAATGCTAACTTCACCTGCCTTTGCATTTGGGGGGCTAAATTCACTATTTTAATTGGGATAGTCCAAGTAAGTATCTCTTAAACATTAGTATTTTTCACCAGGGATGTCCCACTCACTACCCTAGTAAGAGAGGTTAATTTCAAGGGTTTTTCAACTAAGATAGAGTATTTATTGGAAAGAAAAGAATTTTGTATCTCAACAGCTTGTGTGATGAGTATTTTATCCCCACTTCACAACAGGAAGAAATGAACACGAGCAGTTAAAAAAATAAGGTCACTTACTATTAGTGAGCAAAGTTACTTGTTTTTAAGATTCAACAAATCAAGTGATTAGGAGAAACTGAGTTTGGTTGCTCAACTGCTACAAGGTACCCTTTATCCCATCTATCCTTTAAAAGATAGAGACAAAAACATTAAGTTAAAATTCCCAAAAGCATTCTTCATAACATTTTGAATTTGCTTAAATATTTAGAGTTTCACTTACATTTTTAACATCAATCTTTTTCCCCAGTAGATGTGTTACTCATCTTTGAAAAACAATGATACCAGTAAACACTTTCATTCTACTTTTAAAGGTTATATAACATATCAAAAACTGTATATAATTGGTTATACCTCCTTTATCCTATAAGACTAAATATTCTACTAGTAAGAACATGCAAAATAAGTTCTTGTGAAAGAAGGGTGAAAAACTGTTACTGGAGAAATGTATTACTTTTCCTCATGAATTGTATCACTGGTATTTCAGGGGTGAAGAATGTGTGAGATGTTTAAGAAAATTATCAAATATTGTGGAAGTCATAAAAATATTTGTACCCCTGGCAGTTAAGACTCCTAACACTGAGCAAAGCAGTTTATCTAAAGTAGGAAAACTTTTAGGTTTTTGATGCACTTGTAAGAACATACAAATGAAATCATATATGTAGAGGAAATTTCCTATTTCCAAAGACTCCGATGTCTACTTTCTAATCCCATTTGAATTTGTATACTCAGTTACCTAAGATGGAGTATATATAAAACATCCTCCCTGGCTTTATTCACCTTGGTCCTTAAGGGTTTCCTTTTCATTTTGCTATCATGTAGTCAATTTCACCAGGGGCTTTATAGGCTAATTTTCATTTCATATAATTCAATGGAAATACTAGTCTGCTTCAAAAGTCTTAACAATTTCTTTAAGGATATATATTTTGGAGTATTTTCTGTTAGAAATAGTTTTATATTATTTAGTATAATAGTCAATCCTAAATGAAGGTGTAGGCAGCTTAGTTTAGAAATAGACTTGGTGGACTGTAATTTAAAATCTTAAGGTATACATCAAAATCTATGACTGATTTTCCTGGCATTGCCTCAGGTGTTTCCGGTAATTCTTCATCAGATAAAAAATATAGGGAACTGATGAGCAAAGATATTCAGTAACCACCTTTTGTATACTCTACATAAGTTGTCCATTAAATTTCATATAAGCAACCAAAATAATGCTGTGATTTCCAAAGCCTTTAGTAGGCTACATTACTTGAAACTAGTCTTTTTAGGAGGATGTTATTTTGTGGCCAGATGCAATTTAAGTAGGATGAGGAAATGCTAAGACTTTTCTTGTCTAAAGTTAGTGTCATAATTTCACTTTGATCAGCCCACATTTTTCTTATTACCACTTCACATTGTAGGAGACATTAACTTATCCTGGGTGCATAGTACTCTTCTTTCTTTTATCTCCGAGAAGACAAAGGCTTTTATTTCATCTGACATTTACTATGTGTATCAGGTTCTCTGGAAGAAAGTTATGTGTTAATGACTATCTGACTTAATAACATGTTTGAATAACTTGTACATGAAAGTTCTAAAGCTACTGCACCTTTTTTTTTTTTAGATTTTTTTTTTTTTTTTCAATACAAGCACTGGGTACAGTCAGAAGCGTGGGAGGGTGAGAGAATTCACCAGAGCCAGAGCAGGGAGCAGAGCAGGCAGAAGGACCGAAGTACACTGCTGAGGGGAGCAGTGGGCGGCAGGAGAGATCTGCGCGCCATTTGGGACCCTCCTTGGTGGCCAGGGAGCAGCCGGGGATCGAACCGGTGCTGCAGAGGCTGCGGGCAACCCAGCGCTCAACCACTGCGCCACTGGGGAGGCCCTACTGCACCTTTTTTTAGTATGACGTGTGTTGTCATTTGTTAGGAAACTTTGCTAATTTCTACCTAGAAAGTTTGTGAGGAACCATGGCTGGCTACTCTGTAGAACTTTCAACTTAAATGTTTTTAATTCTTGTGAATTCAGAACTAATCTAAGCCTTTTTGTTTTTTAGAAACTATTGTGTTAATTTTGTGCTAAATGCAGCTAATCAATATATATTAACTTGTAAGAATTTTCTCCTTAGTTAGATTATTCCCTGGATAATCTTACTCAATTAATTTTGCGTTTTTAAAGTACTTTCTTTGGAAATTTTGCCTAGAGGAAGATTCACTTATCTACATTTTAACCAAAGTAAGAATTTTCATCAGGTAAAGTTACCTGGACTCTTCCAATGCTCTCTTAGTGCTGACATCACTGTTAATAGATCAGTTAACTTATCTTAGTCTGATTGCCATCTATAAAGAGGAATATGCTATCTTTAAACCAATATGTATCAATATACATTATCCCCTTTATAATAAACTATGTAAGATTGGGGAACTAATTCAGTTCCCAGTTTTAGCCTATAGAAGACCAACTGTATTCCCTAAGATTTAACATTTTTCTTTTTTTTAAAACACCTGTTTCGTGTTTGCCCCATGAAACAATTTTTTTTCCCCTAAAAAGGAGTATTTCATTAGCAAAAAAAAAATTTCAGGTGACTAGTTTCTCAACTCCTAACATGTTCTCTTAATAAAAATTTTGAGTTAACAAAAAAAATTATTTATCTTACATAAAAATATGTGTGCGTAAACCTCTGTGTGTGTGTGTGTGTGTGTGTGTGTGTGTGTGTGTGTGTGTGATTCTTTAGACTGGTATTCTTAATGGTACCCACAGTGTATTTTTCTTTAAAGGTTGCTAAAATTTAGACAGTTGGGTTCCAATAGAGTATCTAGCCATGCTTTATCAAATAGAGAGGGTAATTGACATAGATGTTATGTAAGTTATTACTGTTTAGGTAATAAGAATGAATGTTTTTCTTTTATTATTTGGTGTTATATATATATAATAGAGCAGCATCTTCATTAAACTAGGAAATAGGAATAAGTAACTTTGCTTTTTCTGCCTTAACCAGAGGGATTGCTTAGATAATAAGACTCAGAATGTCTAAATTATGTGTTTCAATAAATCTAATAAATGTTTTATGAAATTATTAAATTATATATATATATTACATTTAAACAGGTATGTTCTCAGAATTTTTACTTGAGTTTCTTCATTTAGTATTGTTTTGTTGTTTTCAAGATGACTTTATAAATGTAGTTTAAGCTTCATTTGTCAAAAAGAAGTATACTTTCTGTTTTATACAATTCTTCTAACATTGTTTTCTGACATTAACAATGTTTGTCAACCTGTTATTCTTTAGCCTGTTCGTCCTCTGCAGTCCTCCTCACAGCCTGTTCAGTACTCTACAGCCCCTTACCCATCCCCGCTCCTGCCAGTCTCACCCACCCAGCAATACTCCGTGGTACTTTATCTCTCTTCACCTCCTGCATTGTTTCTGTGGCTGGCTATGTGATGAATGCTTGTGAATGTGATTAATTTGATAAGATTTTTTTATTTTTTAAGCCATATATATATATGTGTGTGTGTGTGTGTGTGTGTGTGTGTGTATGTATAGATACATATATATATAGAGAGAAAGTATTTCTAACCTGTATTAAAAGTAAGCTATTCTTTTCCTTAAAATAGGTTATATTGCCTAGTATAATGATTGTTTAAACCCTAATATTTTCCTGCTTTTTATAATGAACTACTTTTCAGGTTGATTACTCTAGTCCTAAGATATTTTACTTACTTTCTCATTGAGGTCTGTGAGCTTCTGGGATCAAGGCTTTCTTCTTCTGGGTTTAGATTTTCTATTTTCTTCCCAATGCCATAAATTCATGAGACTTAGTACTAGTTATTAGGGTGGGTGAATTGGAGCTTATAAGTATAGTGGACATCCTCCTAAAGTATTTTCCTAAAGAAAATCTCTGGATAGCTAAATTGTGACTGTAAAGTGATGGTATCTCCTTTAATCCATTGTGTGCTCCAAGTTATACCTCTCCATGAGAGCTCAGATGCATGACTACGATGTGAGTATATGAAACAATGTAAAGTACCTGCCTCATACTGTAGGCATTCAGTAAATATTAATTTCTTTCCCATAAAATGGGTCTCACTAACAGCCTACGTACTTTACCAGTGATAGAGTTATTTTTCACAATCTATGGCCATCACATTTTTAAATTACAAGTTAGTACTTAAAACCATGTGACACATTTTAGAAACTTGTTTCATTTGGGATTTTTTTGCTTTGAACTGGGGGCTATCTTATTTTCTAGCATTGGCTTTGAGTTATTTTTTAAACATCACTTTTACTCTGTAAAAATGAACTTTTTTCAACATTGAGAAGGTTAAGGTTAAAAAGATTTTTCAAAATATCATAAAAGCCTCAAAAACATTTTGAAAATTGGCAGACGCTGGAATAAGAAAATGACTTTCTGGGGTCTTCCTGGTGGCATACAGGTGAAGGCTCACCGTTATCACCACAATGGCCTGAGTTCTATCCCCAGCCAGGGAGCTAACCCCCATGTGGCACAGCAGACCTCTCCTGAATTATTTTGTAACTGTATTATTTTGTAACTACAACTGCTAGGTAAATTTTTCCCTTTTGGAACTATTCATTGAATTAGGCTCATAATGTAGAGTAAGTCAGACCAACCATTTGGGAAGAATAAGACCATGTTTTTTAATCATTAATTCCAGTTCTCCTTTTTCAGTCTATTCTTAGCTTTAATTTCCTTGCAAAAACCAGCATACTATAGAAATTGCTTACTTGTCAACTTTGACAACTCAATTGCTATAATTTTTAAGTAACTTTAAATTTTCCTCTCAACTAAAGGTGGCATATGTTACCAATATGTACCATTGGTATGATATTATCAAAACTTTTCAGAATTTATCCCTTATGCTGTTGATTCAGAAATGTTTTTACGTCAAATGGCATGATGATCATGCTATCTTGGCTGAGCAGTGTTGCTTGCTCACCAAGTAGCAAGAGCAGTAAAAAACTGTTATTTCATTACATTTGTCTTAACATCTGTTTTTATGAAGAAAACAGTAGGGAGGAATAAAATTTATAGGCAAATTATTATTGAGAGATTAGAGAGAAGACAGAAGTGGATGGATTTTATATTTTTCATTTAGTTCTGCTAATATATTAGATTGATAGATGTAATAGGAAATACAGAGATGCAGATTGATAGATGTAATAGGAAATACAGAGATGCATAGAGCCTGAGGCTAGTGTCAGGGAAGAGGGGGCATTTAAAGTGAAGAGTAGTTAGTACTATGCCTTGCTAGTTAGTGTCTCATAAGTCCTTTCAGGAAATATTAATTAATAATAAATAATATGAAAATGTTCAGTTTCACTTCTAGTTTGTAATGTGCCTTTTAGTCTTAATTTAAATATCTTTTTATTTTTTAATGTGAAATGTTGTTATACCCTAAATCTTTTCTGCATGCCAAACATTTCCATTTTATATATATTTTATAAGTTATTTGTAATGACAGCATTGTAACATTTCTGCCTTAATGTTGGAATTTTCTTTTAGTTGTTCTTTGTTAAGTCATATTTGTTATAGACATTTTCCATAATATCTGCTACTCAAAATAAATGAATCGATTTTCTTTGCTAAATTTGGTCTGTGTAAGAAAGACTTACTGATTTCTGACTTCCCCTTTTTTTGCAGGACAACCTTGGATCTCAGTTTAGTCACATGAGTCTTGCCCGCCAACCATCTGCAGATGGCTCTGACCCTCATGCCACTATGTTCCAGTCCACTGTTGTTCTTCAGTCCCCACAGCAATCTGGTTATATCGTGACATCAGCTCCACCACCACCTCCTCCTCCTCCTCCCCCTCCTCTGCCAACTGGGCAGCCAGTCCCTACCACTGGCTATTCTGTCTCTGGTCATCCTGTAAATCCGTCTGTGCTCCAGCAGCAGGGATATATTCAGCAGCCCTCGCCACAGGTACATCAGTTTTTCATCTTTCTTTTCCAATGAAGCCTCTCCTATAAGATCACTTTTAACCTTAGAGAGCTCTTCTTTTTCCAGTTTTGCATGGATAGCATTTATGAAAATGTGTAAACATAGCTTGTTTGTCATCTTCCCTCCTCTGGAGATTTTCAAGTGTATGATAAATAAACACAGGACAGGTAGACACTTCAACTTCAGTTTGAAGGTTAACTGTGTGACATCTGAGTTTCTTTCTAACTCTGCGGGATTTCTTTTGGTTTTTTTAGCTTAAGGAAAACACCATAAGGTAAATGCACTATAAAAATAAAATGATGAATTTCAAGAAGGTGCATCAGTTTGGGGAGAATTAACAGCTTAAGAATATTGCAGCTTAAAAATAAGGGGGTTGCAATTGTATGGGGAATATAAAAATAAAATTTAAAAAAATAAATATAAAGCCATTTAAAAAAATGTAAACCAGCAACAGAGAGGAAAATTAACAATTAAAAATTAAGACTTTAAAAAAAAAATATTGGATCTTGGGCTTCCCTGGTAGTGCAGGGGTTAAAGTCTCAGTGCAATCAAGCTATCACCAGCCACTGAGCCATGAGTTCAATTCCCAGTGAGAGAGCTAATACACACATGGCACAGCAGACCTCTCCTGTCTTGCCTGCTGTCTTGCCTCCCCTTAGCATTCCGCCTGTTCTGCTCCCCACTCTGTCTCTGAATATTCTCACCCCCTGCAACTCTGGCCTACACCCCAATTCTTATATGCATAAATAAATAAAAATAAATCTTTACTTAAAAAAGAACATTGAATCTGCTAGTGCAGGAACATGTTATTTTCTATTTACTGAGATTTTCCTTAATTTTTCTCAGCAGTACTTTATAATTTTCATTATACAAGAATTATGCATGTTTTGTTAAATATATCCCTAAGTATTTAAAGCTTTAAATGCTTCTACATGAGATTATTTTTAAATTTCATTTTCTATTAACTGCTAGTAGGTATTAGAAATAAAGTTGATATTTTTTGTATTGAACTTGCATCCTGTGAACTTTATAAATTCAGTTATCCTAGTACTGTTTTGTAGGTGACTTTGGATTTCCTACAGAGAAGATTCATTTCTACTTGTATTCTTCTTTCCAATTGTATGCCTTCTATTTCTTTTTCTTTCTTTTTTTTGCTTTATTGCATGCACTAAACAGGATCCAATGTTGAATACATTCACAACTCAACAAGAGGGAGTAAAATTCATAGAATCCATGTGTTAAACTTATGAAAGTGCATGGTCTTTGTTTCCATGCTTAGAGGAAACGTTTCAGTCTTTCATTATTTACTATAATTTTTTTGTACATGCCTTCCATCAGTTTAAATAAGTTCTCTTCCTATTTTTCTGAGAGTCTTTAACATGCATTGGTATTAAATCTTGGGAAATGTTTTTTTCTGCATCTTTTGAAATGATCATGTGATGTTTTTCCCTTTTATTTGATTGGTACAGTATGTTATGTTGGCACACATTTGAAAGTCAAACTAAACATTTCTGGAACATACCCCACTTGTCCATGATACAGTGTTTTATATATTGCTGGATTCAATACTAGTATTTTCTTAAGGATTTGCACATGTATGTTCATTTAAAAATATTGGCCTATTGTTAGCTTAGAATGTCTTGTGGGGTTGTAGTGATAGAGTAGTACCATCCTCAACAGGACTTATTTCCTTTATTTTCTGAAAGAATCTGTGTGGGATTGATGTTATTTTTTAAATATTGGCTAGAATTCATTTGGAACTGGAGTTTCTTTGTGGGGAAGATTTTTATTTATTTTTTTGTTTGTTTGTTTTAAAGATTTATTTGTTTATTTATACAAGCACTGGGTACAGTCAGAAGCATGGGAGAGTGAGCTAATTCACCAGAGACAGAGCGTGGAACAGAACAGGCAGACTGACAAAGTACACTGCTGAGGGGAGCAGCAGGCGCAGCAGGAGAGGTCTGCACGCCATTGGGACCCTCGCTGGTGGCTGGGGATCAAATCGGCACTGCAGAGGCTGCAGGCAGCTTCTCAGCCCAGCGCTCAACCACTGCGCCACCAGGGAGGCCCTGTGGGGAAGATATTTAAATTACAATTAAATTTCTTAGTAGAAATAGAGTTATTTCCACATTTTTGGGGGGGATCAGATTTGGTAGTGTATCAATTTCATTTATCTTGTCAAATTTACTTGCATAAAATTCTTCACAGTTTCCCCTTATTCTTACAGTTAGTATCTTTAAGTGTGCTAGAGATATATCAATTCTATTGATAGTCTTACAACACCTACTTAATGGTTTCATTAATTTTTCATACAGTTTTCTATTTGAACTATTCCTGCTTTTATTATTATTTTCTTCTTTTTATTTTGTTTTTAATTTGCTCCCTTCTCACTTCTTTTAATTTTTTCATATTATTTTTTTATTTATACATATTTTACATCATTGTTCATTGTAATACAGTTTTTGCTTTCTCCTCTCAGGTATAGTCGCAGTAGAATTCCTACCAATAACTCACCTGTGCACCATCGCCATAATCCTTGTGCTCTTCATGTTTATTTCTTTATTTATTTGTTTTGTTTGTTTGTTCTGTTTACACATGCACTGGGTACAGTCAGAAGCGCGGGAGGGTGAGAGAATTCACCAGAGCCAGATGCACTGCTGAGCTCTTGTGGGACCTCCTCAGGTGGCCGGGGAGCAGCCGGGGATCGAACCTGCGCCGCAGAGGCCGCGGGCAGCTTCGTAACCCAGCGCTCACCGCTGCTTGTGCTCTTTCTTCCCATTTTGACCCCTCTCCTTCCCTGCAGAATGTCTCTGATTTATAGTTTACTGTTAATATTTTTGTTGTTATTATTTTTTCCCCTGATCCCTTATTTAGTTCCCCTGTATTCCTCCTATAAGTGAAACCATCCAATATTTTTCTTTTTTCCTTCTGACTTATTTCACTGAGCATAATCCTGTCTAGCTCCATCCATGTTGCTGCAAATGGCATGAGTTTATCTTTTTTTTTGATAGCTAAATAATATTCCATTGTGTATATATTCCACATCTTCTTGATCCAGTCATCTATTTTTGGGCATTTAGGTTGTTTCCATAGCTTACCTATTGTAAATAGTGCTGCAGTAAACAGAGGGGTACAGATATCCTTTTGAATTAATGTTTTTGTGTCCTTTGAGTAGATTCCAAGGAGTGGAATTGTAGGGTCATATGGTAGCTCCACTTTAGTAGTTTCAGGGACCTCCTCCACACAGCTTTCCATAGTGGTTGAACCAGTTTACATTCCCTTCAGCAATGCAGGAGAGTTCCTTTTTCTTCACATCCTCGCCAACATTTGTTGTTTCCTGTGTTTTTAATATGTGCCATTCTCACTGGTGTAAGGTGGTATCTCACTGTGGTTTTGATTTTCATTTCTCTGATTATAAGGGATGCTGAACAAGTTTTCCATATACTTGTTGACCATTTGCTTTTCCTCTTCGGAGAAGTATCTTTTTAGCTCCTCTTCCCATTTTTGACTGGATTGCTTACTTTGTTTTTGTTGAATTGTGTGAGGTCTTTGTAGATCTTTGCATTCAGTCCCCTATCAGTTTTATGGAGTGCAAAATTTTTCTCCCAATCAGTAGAATGTCTCTTTGTTTTGACTAGTCTCTCTTTTTCTGTACAGAAACTTTTTAGTTTGATGTAATCCCAGGTGTTTGTCTTTTCCTTGACTTTATTTGCTTTGGGGGATGAGTCTTTAAAGATGTTACTGAAATATATGTCATGTAATAGTTTACCTATATTTTCTTATATATATTTTATGGTTTCAGGTCTTATGTCCAATTGTTTTATCCATTTGACATTAATTTTTGTGCATGGTGTGAGGTAGTAGTCTAGTTTCATTCTTTTACATGTGGTGGTCCAGTTTTCCCAGCACCATTTATTGAACAAACCATCCTTGTTCCATTGCATATTCTTTGCTCCTTTGTCAAAGATTTATTGTCCATATATGTGTGGCTTTATTTCTGGACTTTCTATTCATTTTTATTGGTCTGCATGTCTTTTTTTTTGTTGTTGTTCCAGTACCATACTGTTAAAATTATTATGGCTTTCGTATAGTTTAAAGCCTGGGAGTGTGATAGCTCCACTCTTTCTTTTTTAGTCAGGATATTTGTGGCCATTTGTGGTTTTTGTGGCTCCATATGAATTTCATCAATATTTTTTCTATTTCTTTGAAGAATGTCATTGAGATTTTCATGGGGATTACGTTGAGTTTGTAAATTCTCTTGGTAAGATGACCATTTTATAATGTTCATTCTTTTAATCCATGAGCAGGGGCTATCTTTCCATTTCTTTGTGTCTTCTATTTCTTGTAACAGTGTTTTATAATTTTCTTTATATAGCTCACTAACCTCCTTGATAATTTTATTCCTAGGTATTTGATTTTTTTTTTGTTTCAATTGTAAATGGGATGGTTTTCTTAATTTCTCCTACAGATTGATTATTTGCATATAGGAAGGCTGCTAATTTTTGTGTGTTCATTTTGTATCCTGCTGCTTTACTAAACTGGCTATGTTGATCAATTTTTTTGGAGTTTTTATGGTTTTCAATGTATATGATCATATCGTCTGCAAATAGTAAAAAAGTAAAAAATACTTTTACTGCAAAAGTAAAAAATATTTTTACTTCTTCTTTCCTTATCTGAATTCCTTGTATGTCTTTCTCTTGCCTTATTGTTCTGGCTAGGACTTCCAGTATTATACTGAAAAGCAGTGGCGAGAGTAGACATCCTTGTCTTGTTCCTGATCTTAAAGGAAAGGTTTTCAGCTTTTCAGCGTTGAGAATAGTATTGGCTGTGGGTTTGTCATATATAGCTTTTACCATGTTGACACATGTCCCTTCTATCCCGAGAATTTCAAGGGTCTTCATCATAAATGGATGTTGAACTTTGTCAAACGGTTTCTCAGCATCTATTGATATGATCATATGGTTTTTATTTTTCTTTTTGTTGATGTGTTGGATTAATTGATTCAGAGGTTCAACCATCCTTGTGCCGCTAGAATAAATCCCACTTGGTCGTGGTTTATTATCCTTTTGATACATTGTTGGATTCTGTTGGCAAGGATTTTATTGAGGATTTTTGCATCGGTTTCCATTAGAGAGATTGGCCTATAGTTTTCTTTTTTTGTGTTGCCTTTGTTTTGTTTTCATATTAGTGTAATTTTGGCTTCATAGAACGTATTTGATATTATTCCTTCTTTCTCGATTTTTTGAAAGTGTTTGTGTAGGATAGGCACTAGTTCATTTTTGAATGTTTGATAGAATTCATTTTTGAAGCTGTCTGGTCCTGGGCTTTTGTATTTGGGGAGAGTTTTGGTTACTGTTTCAATTTCACTGCTTGTAATTGGTCTGTTTAGATGTTCTGTTTCTTCTTAATCTAGCTTTAGACGATTGTGTAATTCTAGGAATTTGTCCATCTTTTCTAGATTGTTGAACTTGTTTGCATATAAGTATTCATAGTAAGCCCTGATTCTTTTGATTTTTGCTGTGTCTGTTGTAATTTCTCTTCTTTCATTTATGATCTTATTTATTTGTGCTTTTTCCTGTTGTGGTTTTTTTGTTGTTGTTTGGGGGGGGTGGTTTGGTGAGCTTGGCTTGAGGTTTGTCTATTTCATCTATTTTTTCAAAGAACCAGCTTTTGGTTTCATTGATCTTTTGAATTGTTTATTTAACATCTATTTCATTTATTTTTGCTTTGATTTTTATTACTTCCTTTCTTCTGCTGACTTTTGGGGTTTGTTTGTTGTTCTTTTTCCAGTTCTTTTTTTTTCTAGTTCTTTAGGGTGGTAAGGTAGGTAGGTTGTTTCTTTGAGTTCTTTTCTTATTTCTTGTGTTAGCCTGTATTGCTATATATTTTCCTCTTACAAATGCTTTCGCTGTGTCCCATACATTCTGGAGCGTTGTGTACTCATTATCATTCATCTCAAGGTAGTTTTCAATTTCTTCTTTGATCACCTCATTGATCTTTTCATAATTTATTTCTAGTTTGATGCCTTTATGGTCAGAGAAGATAGTTGATATGATTTTGGTCTTAGTGTATCTGTTGATATTTGTCTTGTGCCCCAGTGATCGATCCCGGAGAATGATCCATGTTCATTTGAGAAAATTGTGTACTCAGATTTTTTTAACAGACATCCCCAAAGATGTCTGTTAAGTCCATCAGGTCTTGGTCCTTATTTAGAGCTCTTGTGTCCTTGCCTGTTTTTTGTCTCATTGATCTTATCCATTGGTGAGGAGAGGGGTGTTGAAGTCTACTATGTATGTATTTTCTCTAATGTGTGTTTTCAGAGATGATAATAATTGTCTGATACATTTTTGTGCTCCTTCATTTGGTGAGTCTATGTTGGTGAGTGTTATGTCTTCTTGATGTAGTGTCCCCTTAGTCATAATATGGTGTCCATATATGTCTCTTTTTACCTCTTTTAGTTTGAAGTCTATTTTATCTGATGTAAGGATAGCTGTTCCTGCCTTCCTTTTTGGCCCATTTGCTTGTAGGATTGTTTTCCATCCTTTTATTTTCACTCTATTTTATCTTTTGTAGTTAAATGTGTTTCCTGTAGACAGCAAAAGGTTGGGTTCTGTTTTTCATTCCAGCCTGCTACTCTGTCTTTTTATTGATGAGTTTAGTCCATTTACATTTAGAGTTAATATTATACACTGACAGCCATATTTGCCATTTGTTTGCCTTGTTGTGATTTCATTTCTTACCTGATTCTGTTCTTTCTTTCATTCCTTTGTTGATTTTGGCTTTAGGGTTTCTTGTAATATTTTGGGGAGCGGGGTTTAGTAGTAATGAATTTCTGGAGGTTTTATTTTGTTGGGAGGTTTTTTCCCTTCATAGAGGAAGGAGAGCTTTGCAGGGTAGAGTATTCTTGGTTTGCATTTGTTGGCTTGGGAGTTTGTTAAATATGTCACTCCATTCACTTCTTGCCTGGAATGCTTCTTTGGAGAAGTCGGATGTCAGCCTGATTGGTTTTCCTTTATAGGTTATCTGTTTCTCCTCCCTTGTCACTTTCATTATTTTTTTACTTTGTCTTGCACTTTTGAAAACATTACTATCATGTGTCTTGCTGTAGTTTTCCTTTCATTGTGGTGGTTTTGTGGTTTTTTTTAGATTCCTGTATGTCTGTTTTCATTTCCTTCTTCATGCTTGGAAAGTTCTCTTTGATTATCTCCTTGAATAGTTTCTCAGTTCCTTTGTCTTGGATTACTATAACTCTTATATTTCCTTTCCTCGTGGTGTCAGATAGTTCTTGAAGTGTTCATTCTTTCTCCCTTGTACTTTTACCTTTCCCTTTTTTGTTCTTTTTATGTCTGTATCTTTAAGAGTACTGATTCGTTCTTCCATTCCTCTGCTCTGTTATCATGGCTTTTCCCAGAATTCTTGAGCTCCTCCACTAATCTCTGGATATCCTCCAGTTCCTTCACTTTCTTCCTCAGTTCATTGACTATGTTCTTATCTCTGTATGCATTTTCTCTTAACTCTTTAATTGTTTTCATTATGGTCTTTTTGAATTTTTTGTTAGGAGGAGATGTTCTTCCATGTCCATAGTATCAGGTTCTGGAGGTTGACCTTCTCTCTGTGGTGTATTGTTCCCAGAAGGGCCTGCTTGGTCATTTGTATTTTTCTTTCTTCCCATTGTTAGCCTTTGGCTTTGCTCTGTTTGTAGTGCCCCTGTACTGCTGGTACTGGTGGGCATGACTTCTGATTTCTCATGCTGATATGTGGATGTGTCTGCCGGGTGTCTGAGCCGCTGTGGCTATTGGATAGAGGTGAGGGCTCTTGTTGTTTCCTCTCCTCTCTCTTTATTTGTACCCCTGCTGTAAGCAGGTGGTAGTTCCCGTCACTCTTTAGGGTGTTGGGGGCTACCGGACTTGGGAGTTGCGGGGGGGTTCCTGCAGTTCCCACCTGGGTACATAACCAGACACTCTTCTATTATGGTAGATGTTGTTCTGAGCTGTGCTTTGCTCCAGAAGCCCCTGCTTTTCCTACCCCCACTGTGTAGGGTGGGATCCCACATCTCCTCCTGTGGTATTCAAGAGTCTTGTGTGGAGCACTGCACCTCCATACTCTGGGAGGTGTCTGCAGGCTGGGTGGGATGTATTTCTCTGTTGAACTGCTAGGTCCCTCTAGGCATGTCTCAGACAAATACCGGATCAAAAGAGAGAGAAGGGATAAGACGAAAGAGGAGGATGATCCGGAAATATTAAGAGAACAAAGATGAGAAAAGAAAAAAGGAGCTAGATTGGGGGAAGAGGAAAGAGGAGGGAATATAACAGAAAGAAGGGAAAGTAGTGATGGTAATGTTAAAAGGGAAAAAGAAGAAAAATAGAAGAATCAGAAAACAGAAAAAGGAAAGACAGAAAGGAGTAACAGACAACCACCTGGCCAGTAAACAAACCAACACAAAATAGATGGGGGGAGAATTGTTTATCAGGCTGTGATGGCTCCCTGTGAGCTAGTCATTGCTGTTTTACCCAGCCCTCGGCTGGGTAGGGCTGAGTAGGATAGTCTTCCCAGGGAGGATTTAAAAAAAAAAGCACAAAAGGGCACAGAGTGAACTGCATCTGTGATTGTGGGAGGATCAACACTCTTTCTGGGGCCCCTGATGTAGTTGGGTGGCTGATGGGGCTCCTGCAGCCTCTGATGTCCTTCCGCTGGTAAATGTGTCCCATTAAATGGTCCTGCTGGTCTCCATATCACAGCAAAGGGTCTCACACCCAGTGCTGTGTGCCTGTGCTGAGGCCCCTTTTGCACACCCGTCACTGTGCGGACTTCTCAGATGGCACGGAATTCTCCGGGCATCGTTGTCTCCAAGCTTTTCCTCCCTTTCTTCTAGAGGAAGTGGGCTAGCTTTATGGGTGGGGGAGGGGAGAAGAGTTCCAATGATTTTCTCTCTTCCCTTCCCCTGTCTTTCCAAATTTCCTCTGCATCTGGGTGAATCACCAGTGTCGCCAAGTTTGTCTAGCCCACCAGGAACTAGACCGTTATTTGCCGTTATTTGCCGTTATTTCTCCCCACCAGATTTTTTATGGGAGAACAAGGTCCTTGCGTCCCTTTGCTGCCATGTTGATGATGTCCAATCTATTAAGTTTCTTTAAAAGGAATTCACAGCTTAGATACAGATATAGATATAGATATATCTATCTATCTATCTATCTATCTATATATATATATATATATATATATATATTTAGCTCTGGAAAGAAAAATAAATCATACTAATCTTACTCACATTTTTTGACCAAACTTGTACTGGCACTAAAAACATGAGACAAATTAAAGAATGGAATCAGTACAACTCTGTGTTAGTGTGAGAATGGATAAATTGGTTTATTTACACTGTGACTGCTATTCAGCATTTAAATTAAATGAGCTAGTGGTACGTGTTTCAACAATGTTTCTATAACACTTTATTGAAATAAGTTGTGTAAAGTTATAAATATGTTGCATAAAGTTATATATAGAGTAACATATACTATATGTGGATAACATAAATATAACTATCTTTGTATCTTAGAGGTTTAAAAATATTCATAGAAGTGATATATACCAATGATAGGATAGTAGTTTTTCTGTGGAATATAGAAAAAAGGAATGTTGGTTTGAACCTTCAGCTTTTTAATAGTGTTTGATTTTTGTAAAACAAAAATCTGAAACAAATACAGCTAAAAAATTAGAATTACTAAATCCTATTGATGGGCACATTGGTTGATATCTTTTGTTATGAGTAGCACATGGTTGTAAGCTCTTTTCAGTTAAATTTAAACCTCAGAAAATTGGTTTTCAAATGATTGGTGTTGGAAAGTATTATTATTAATTACATTTGGATATTCCTTACAGAAGAAAATTTCTATTGTAAGTAAAATGGATTTTTTCCTTAATATTTATCCTAGATGCCAGCCTGTTATTGTGCTCCAGGCCACTATCACTCCAGTCAACCTCAGTATCGCCCAGTCCATTCTGTCCATTACAATTCACATCTAAACCAACCACTGCCACAGCCTACACAGCAGACAGGTGAGTAGTATTTCTGAGATCGTGAATTCTTAGCTGTGAACAACTGCTTTTTTCTAATCCTGTTTTCTTTCTTTCCGTGAAGATATTTAGTATCTTGAATGTGCAAGCATACATATGCAAACCAATGAAATTAAGAGTGGGCAAGTTTTAGCATCCTCCAGAAAATAACCAGTTTCAGGTTTCCACACTAAAGGACTAGAAGTTATGAGAGGGTTCTCTTAGGCCAGTGTATTAGTGTGGTGAACAGCTTCCTGGTTCTCACTGCCATTACAATTGCAGCCTTCTTTAGAGCCTGATAAACCCAGGTATAGTAATAAGCAATAGAGAACCAAGGCAAATGAAAATGACCTGAACAGCTCACCAAAAACCAAGACCAAAATGACTTTAGACAACTCTGAGTATTTTGATATCTTAGTTTCAGTAGGAATGCATTCAAAAGAAATAATGATCTTACATATCCTTTCTGTTTTGTTTTTCAATTTGCTGGTTGTGTATTGAACCAAGTACAATCTAATTCTGGGCATATCAAATATATAAAAACTCAAATTTTTTGCCCCTTTTCAAATTTCCCCGAGCACTCAATGAAAGCAACTGTAATTTGTATTAAAAAAAACTCTTACTAATTTTACTGAACTCATTTCTCTCTATGCTTCCCACATAGATGTGTACTTCTGTCCCAGATGTTTAATAAGGTACTTTTTCAGACTTTCATGACTCTAGGCATTAAAGTAATAGTTTATATTGGTTTCTTTGGAGCCGTTTTAGCTTGTAGCAATTGTCAGAGGCTCTCAGACTTTTTCAGCATGACTCATGAGGCCATATAACCCTCCACCTTCATGTAGGCAATCTCTTGCTCTTGATACTATTGAATTAGTATGTGGAACTCTTAAGGGTTGCTGCAATTTCAGGATAAAAATATATTTACTCGGCAGTCTGATGAGAAGTGATCTTGGTTCTTCTCACTTGTGCAGTCTGTTGATTATTTTGACTTCCTTTACCAGATTGAATTCTAATTTACCACCCCTGCAGGGGAACTTCCAGGTCCTTAATCTGTTGCTCTTAGGAGTTGTTTGTACTTAGTAGGCTCTTCCCTTTCTGTGTGTTGCTGGCCCTATTGTGTGTGTGACAAATGTTCTTCCAAACTATGTTGAGTATTGACAACGGTCATTTTAACCAACTTAAAATTTGTCCTCTGTCTTAAATATGACTCTTCAGTTAGGTTTTCCTGAAGTTTAATAATACTGCAAGTGATGTAAACTAGCATATACTCTAATTTCAAAAACCATCAATAGGTATTTTTTAATACTCGGTAATATCAGTATTGACACTGCTCATTAGCTTTAAATATCTTATTTTATTCCAATAAAAATTATCCTCTGCATTTTTATGGGTCTCAGTGACTGGCTTTTTGTATTATTTTGTTTTTTGTTTTTCTTGTTATGGTTTTTTTATTCCAAAATTATAGTGCACATTATAGCAGATATCATGATAATAAAAAAGCAGATTTACCTTCACTCTCCCCATTCAAATACCTTTCGTATAACTAATTAACTTAGTTCATTAGTGAGGCAGCAAAGGTCCTTTGTATTTGTGTGAACTTATTAGTTCTTTCCCATGGCTAAATTTTTGTTCCTCTCCAGGGTCAAATTATATACAAAATTAAAACTTTTTTTTTTTTCAAAATTAAAACTTTTAATCACAAATTGTACCAGTATATTTGTACAAATGCCTCCCTGCAAAAAATATTCCCACAAATGGAAAACAAAAATACCTGCTCAATAGATATCATATGTTTATTATTGATGATATTTTAATTAATGGATTATTTTCCTAATGCTCGTTATGGTGAGAAGAAAGGAAATGCTCAGTAAGTCAGATTGCACCTGGCTAGATCAGTACAGGAAAGAGAATATGTCTTTCAGGAGTTTAAACATTGTGTTTAAACTGACATTTTAGGGCCTCCCTGGTGGCGCAGCGGTTGAGCGCTGGGTTGCGAAGCTGCCTGCAGCCTCTGCAGCTCCGGTTCAATCCCCAGCTGCTCCCCGGCCACCGGAGGAGGGTCCCACATGGCGCGCAGACCTCTCCTGCCGCCCGCTGCTCCCCTCAGCAGTGTGCTTCGGTCCTTCTGCCTGCTCTGCTCCCTGCTCTGGCTCTGGTGAATTCTCTCACCCTCCCGCGCTTCTGACTGTACCCAGTGCTTGTATAAATAAATAAATGAATAAATAAATAAATAAATCTTTTAAAAAAAATAAGCTGACATTTTAGTTATTTTTAACTTACAACTTTAGTCTCATTTTTAACTTACAACACTGTATTTTTAACTTTACAACGTTAGTCTCATTCAGTTGAAAAAATAAAAGACAAATCCTCAAAACATCCTTATCTTCAAGGGAAAGATACTGTTATGCTGCTAAGTATAATAGAAAGTTTCCCTTTAAAGAAGACTGGCAGCTACAGTACTAACTATTGTGGTAATTACACTGAATCTTTCTATTGAATTAGTAAGAATTGGAGTGAGAAAAAAGTTAATTCAAAAAACTTTTATAGTTAATTATAGTTAGCTACTTGGTTTTTTTCAATTGTTATAGCTTCCCCAAAATGTGCATTTATGTTTGTATGTGTCCTAATAGAAAAGTAGAATACACTGGAAAAGGGGATGGACAATTTTTTGTTTGATTTTTTTTCACAGATGTATAGCAATTTTGTCTCAGTAATTTACATTTTTTACATAAACATTGTACTTTCTCAATTTCAGTTTTGATTTTAGTCCGAATATGACTTTATGTCCTACCATCCCAATCTGATAAAAATTAGAAATAATTAGCCACATTCCTTACATTTCTGTTTGTTGTTAAACATTTAGTCACCTTATCATCGTCAAGGAGCATATTATTTTCTTTTGTTAATGGTGGAAACAGTTATTCATCCAAATAAAGAAAGCATTGGTAGGTTTTGGATAATTTCCACTGAGGCACAAATAAATATATTTTGAATGTTTTTATGTGAATTTAAAGTAAGTAAGTTTGCCCTTACTTGACAAACCCAATTGAATCAAGTACTCTTCTTAGACAAGGAAAGGTAAGATACTATAGAAATACAGGATTTTCTATTATACAAGGAGAAGGTTGGGGAAGTATCTCAAGGATAAAAATGCTTTGATCTTCCAAATACATGTATACCAGAGGACCATAATCATTGCTGATCTCCTTGACAATAGACCTCCCATCTCTTAGGGAACTGAATTGAAAGCAGCATTAATGTCACTGCTGGAAAATGAATATTCAAATCTTATTATGAACTTGAAATTGCCATGGTCATTCAAAACAAAGTTGAATCAGTTCATGTCAACAGAAGCAGAAGAAATGCAGACCATACAAGGCTTTTCAAACAATGTATTCTGTAATGCGAAAGAAGACAAACTAGGAATCAGAATCCCAACATCCCTCACTAATTTTTAGCTGATATTAGATATGTATTCCATTTTGCAAAGAAAGGGAGTTTTACTGTGTTGTCTGTTGAAGCCTCTCTGTACTCTAAAATTCCATAATTCTGTGTGTCTATCTCATGTGAGTCATTTTTAGTTCAGAAAGGTGGAATTTTGGAAAATTGGTTCACAGTAACTTAGTGACTTTCAACAATAAAAGTCATACAAGTAACTATTTCAAAAAGATCTGTTCATTTGCAGAAAGATTAATTTATCCTAACCCTTTTATCATAAAATTTGCATTTTGAGTTCTATAAAGTATATTACACATAAGGAGCTTGATAAAGAAACCTTTCCTGCAGGTAGAAATTATAGCAAAGGTTTTAGGTTCAAGCCCCGGCTCTTTCCTATATAGCTGCTTTCATTTATATGATTCTTTTGAAAAGTTTGCAGCTTCACCACATATGTTTAATATTTTGCAATAATTGGCCTTGTTCCTGAGCTGTTGGATTCGGGGCCGTAGCACTGTCTGAGAGGTTTACATTTCTCACAGTGAACCGGTCTCTTTTTCAGCTGCTTCCTGGCTTCTTTTTAATCAGATTTCCACTGCCTTTTTTTTTTTTTAATGCTATATTAAAGTGTTAACATTTGCTTATATTTTTCACTAACAACTGTAATGCCTTTTAATCATGCATCATACTCAGAAGTAGGAATTTGAATTTAAATGACAACCTTAATATAACTTATTTCTAAAAGTTTATGAAAGCTATTATTTTATTTCTTATTCAGAGCAGATTTGGATGGCAGATTCAATTGGGTTTGGAGTTTTTCATAAAAGTTTAATGTCCTAAGCATGCCAGACTCATTAGTGGAAGTCAAGCACATCTCTGACTATTGTTACATATCTTCGTAGGAACATTATTATGCTTTTAAGCCATGCAATGGATCTAAGACCTAAAAGAAATCATTCCGTTTTTTTTTTTCCAAACTGACATTGTGTGCATGTCAGAAGCAAAATGATTCTGTAAAACTAAATATTTTATTTTGCAGCAAAGCTTATAAATTCCAAAAATATTAACATATATTCAGTCTTAGCTTTCCAAATAGCTTAGAACCAGTATGATTCCAAACTGATTAAACTTTGTTACCAGCAGACTATAGTAGGATCCTGATGAACCACACTTTAGGAGGAACATTTTAGATTAAACTAACTATAAGGTGTACATAATGTTGATAGCATTACAAGGGGCAAATTTAAAAGTAAGAAGGGGAAAAAGCAAACAAGGACAAAATGGCCCTATTGAATAAGCAGAGGAAGGGTAAAATTGATGAGATTTTAGCTATGTCAAGTAGGGATCAAGTGGAGTCTGTAGGCCCAAAGTAATTTCTTGACTGGCAACTTTTGACCCGAGTAATAGAAATTTTGTATTATATTACTAACTGGTGGCCCTGACTATCCTTGTTTTTTGTTTTTTTTATCTGTGAGCATTTCTTAGTATTGTGTGACCAACACAGATTCAGACATTGTAATACCTACAAATCCACCTATTTCCCTTTTCCCTTCTTCATTAACCTG